TAGAGGAGAGAGAGAAATTCTTTAAAGCAAGGGAGTTGAAAGTGTGGCTTGAGGGCCATTTCTGGCCCCCAGGATGATTTTTTTAAGCCTTTAACAACAATTCAAGATTGGTCTGAATATTTTTTAGCAATTAGTCTGAGAAAAATGTGAGTCATTTTTACCAAATCAACTTAAATTAAAATCTGTCAACAGATATGTGAAATTGCAACCTAAAGCATATTTATTTTTATTATTTATGGACTGCAAATATCCAGTGACTTTCCCTAAAAACCAGACCCAGAAGTCTCGGTTGAATTAAATTAAATACAGCGAGAGTGGACCATATCATGTTCTTGTTGATAAAAATACACCAAGAAAAATCCAGACCGATATAGTCAATCTAAAAACATTTGTAAGGCATTTTGTTTTACCAATGAAACCTTTTTATGTTATTTTTATGTCTACAATAACTAAAATTTTCTACAAAAACTGGACTCATTTGCTTGTTTAACTGAAACTATATGCATTTGCATTAATATATAATATATAATACCAGGTCAGCATAAGCAATAAACAAATTTATTTTATACATTTAGTTGCCCATGGCAAAAAGTTTAGATACTTCTCATTTAAAATTTTAAAACGTAAGGTTAAAACAAAATTATGATGACGAGGTTTGCAGCCAAACATTAAGGCAGAATTCAGCCATAGTCTTCATGGTGGTTTGAAAAATTAAAATGTTCAAGGGTCATTATGCTGTTCCTCTTAATCATCCATTTCCCTTTTCTTTTTTTTTTTATTTAAACAACATAACATATCAGGAACCTGCATAGCATACCCCCAAATTGTTTTGTTGAAATTGACACCTTTTGCCCTGATTAACATTTACCCAAAAACATATTTTCGAAATTTCTAGATAAATAAAATGTAAAAAAAAAAAAAAAAAAAAAAAACACCAGCGGCAATTATTTCACTTGAGTTTATTTGTAACAAATGAAACCTGTGTCGATATTGAACAGAAATCCATACAGACCGGGTTTTTGTGTTTTCCACACGCTCCGAGATCCCAACATAGGAAAATAAAAAAAAGCACTTGTTGACTCAGAGCTCGAAACAAAATGAAGAATGTTTGACATGTACAGACCAATTGGTGGCAACTGACCCAAGCAAACACATCGTACTTTCATTTTTATACAGTTTATAAACTCCAGTTTTATCCATCTACATTACACATTTGAAGGAAAGAGGGAGGAAGGGGTATTTAGAGCATATTTTTATTTTGTTTTGTGAAACTTCTTGTTTGTGGGACAATAAAATCCACAAAGTGGCGTATTGCACAATACAGCTGTGCCGTAAAAGTGTGATTTCAGGTGCAACTTTGATATCACTCTGTATTCTCATAAATTTCTCTCCTTATCTTTATTCTATTTCTCTGTTTATCTATGCATTTCAGTTACTCTCAGTGTTTTGTGTTATTTACATATACACAACCATGTGAGCGTTACACAATCCACCCGAAAGAGTTCAAGTAAGTCCCGCCCCCTTTTTTTTTGTGAGGTGGGTGGGAGGGAGGGGCATTAGAGATCCTACTAGTAGTGCATAGTACAAAGAGAGAAAGTGCTAGTCTTTCCATAAGCTGCGTGACCAACAGGGGGTACCATGCATATGAAATAATAATAACTGGGCGACAGGGTCACTGCTGGACAACGTAAAACTGTCGACCGTCTCTCGTGTGGTCGAGCGTCGATATAAAAAAACATGACTACATCTGTTCTGAGTTGGTAGCACCTGAACTTCTCATTGCCTTTGTCATTATTAGATATAGAGACACAAATGGAGACACTGACATGGACCAAAGGGTACAGATGAGGATACTGACCGGCTTCAGGGGGATCTTTTCATGTGGGTTACATGGGTGGACTGGGATGGCATCCAAATGACCTTAAAACTGACCAAGATTTCTGCTGTCGTTCAGCTTCTTGTAAATAACTGCATAGCTGGGCAAGTCTGACTTGCCTTCCGTGTGAAGAGTTGTACCAAGCACCTTGCAAAAGTATTCATATCCCTTAACCCTTTAATACCGAGTGTATCATATCTGATACATGAGTTTTTGAAGACCTCTACATCATCAGCGATATATTTGCTCTTGAAAAACGTATGCTATCAAACACATGTGGTAATTAAATGGACGGAAATATGTATCACAAATGATACAAATAGCTCATCTAATTCAAATTATTCAAATGATTTGTTAGAATTTTTAATGAAAACTAGTTTAAAAACAACTAGTTCATAATTTAGCCTTTACAGGGTTAAAGATTTTTACCTTTTGTCAGTGTATACGAGAAGCATAAACTTTAATCTGTGACATCTGAGACAAAATAGCATTTAAGTGTGAAGTGGAAGGGAAATTATACATACCGGTATTTAAATTTTTTTTTTGAGAGATCTGAAAAGTGCAGGCATAGAGCATCTATTTTCAGCCCCCATTACTCTGATGCTCCTAGACTCATTGCATTGCTACTAATTACCATCAGAAGTAACTCAGCTAGTAAATAAAGGCCGTCTGGGTGTCATTTAATCTCAGTGTACATCCAGCCATTCTGTGAAGGCCTCAGAGGTTAGTTGGCGAACATTAGTGAGAACAGAGCATCATGGGAACCAAGGAACATAGCAGACAGGTCAGGTTGAGAGGTTATAAAACAAAGTGGCCGCTTTATACTAATCAGTTGATTCCATCACTGAACAAACAAAGAGGCAAGGCAACGGTTAAACAGAGAAGCGGCCCAGTTGCTCTGCAGAGATCAATAACACAGGAGGGAGAATCTATTGATGGAAAAACAATTAATTGTCCAGGAATGTGGCCTTTATAGGAGTGGTGAGACAAAGGCTTTAGCTCAAAGGAAGCCCAAAGGGAACCAGCATGAACATTGGAGACTTCTTGAAAACACTAAATAATGCAGATTACTGACACTAAACACCTTTCTAAAAACGACATCCGTACTGCAGTGCATGGTGGTGGTAGCATCATGCTGGGGGAATCCTTTTCTTCAGTAGAGACACTGGATGTTACTTTGCAGAGTAGCAGACAAAACTTTAAAGAAAAAAATGAGATAGAGAAGCGGAAAGCCGATGCACAGCATGCTTTTCAGATTCCCCCCCCCCCCAAAAATCACCTTTAAAGTCATATATTTTTTTTAAACTTAAAGATTGTTCATTAGGTTGTGGGTCTTCTACAACAAAAGCCCTCTGAAGTTCATCAAGAATCAAGGATGACATTTCAAAAACCAATATGGGGAGAATACTTTTGCAAAGAGCTGTACAAAAAAACAAAACAAAAGACTTCATCTTCATCCAGATAAAAAAATCATCTGTAACTGAGTCCTAAGTGAAATACCACCTAAAAAGAAAAAAAAAAAAACTAATGCTGAAACAGCTGCTGGATTTAAACCATCCAACCCACATGGAACCTTCGGTTTGACATTTCACAGCCCAAAAAAACAACAACAACAAAAAAAAATCAAAAAACAGAATGTACAAAAAGAAGAAACACTTTTATATACAGGAACCTAAGAAAAACCATGAACACTTACACTCAGATCACACACACACCCCAGCATACAGAAAATATACACACACACTCATACACAAAAGAAATCATTTAAAGTAACTTTATCAAAATAGGCGTGTAATATAAGGCACTAGAAATCTAAAATCAAAGTACTGAATAGATGCTGAAATGTGACTGTGATCCTTTGTTCTGCTGTGACCTCTGGATTGTGGCGCTCTGCCTGGACACACTGGACTGAATCGAGTGTAAAACACTTTCCTGCGTCTGGAGTAAACCTCAGACCTTCATCATGGCATATAACTGCAGTTAAGTGACTTGACACAAAAATATATAATACATCTACTTATTGCACACTGAATCAGACAAGAGAGAAAAGTCTAATGTGAGCATTCCAGTGAGAAAGTTGTCCCCTTCCCCAAAACCCCCACCCTCTGCATCCCTTTCCTGCTGCCCCAAATCTCTGTGAAAGCTTATTTGAATCCATAAATAGTTCATCTCTTTCCATCATATCTTTCCCTCTGTACACACGTCCTGTACGTTTTGTGTTTTATGTGGGTTTAGATGAGCAAATGCACAACTTGTTGGGGCTTTCTCCGCCCCTCGTGTCCCCCCTTTGCTCTGCGGGGCGAGATAGTCACGTGCTGAGATATCAAGCCACCACACGCGTGAGTGTTTTCATAGAAGGTAGGAGGTGGAGGGTATGTGACGGTGGCGTTTGTCGTCAAGCGGTGAACTTCCTCCGCATTAGATTTGATTGTACGCTTAAAGAAAGGAAATAGAAACATGGCTACGGCTTACAAACCTTGCTTTTTTTTCTGTAGTCAGTGGGGACAAAACTGATAAAAGTAAAAAAAAAAAAAAAAAAACAGAATGTGACATTTTGCTTTTTTAAAAAAACTAAATAGTCATATATCTTTCTAAAAAACTAAATTAATGTTTTGCTTTGCAGTTTAAACCTCTCTTCCCTTATTTGAAATGGTGAAGCGTAATAAGGTTGAACTGGTGGTGCTTATTACTGTAGAAATGTCCTCTTTTCGTTCACAGGAAACAAAAGTCCGTTTCCAAGCGAATTCGGAACCGAAACAAAGAGAGACCAAAAAAAACAAAACAAAAAACACTCCTTGGTGCTCCTTTTTAAAGTTAAGTGTTCTTTGTCTTTCTAATACTGTGCTCTGCGTTTTCAGTTCTTTCTGTCCGTACCTAAAGGGCCTACGACTCCTCCGGCGGATAGTCGCGTAGACTTTGACGTGCCGCTTCACCTGGGAGTAAGTATAAGTCCAACTCTTTCCCGCAGCTTGGTCCTGTTTGGTGATGCTACAACTGGTGATGGACGAGGTGAGAGTTCCACACCAAAAAAACAACACAAAGCAACCCGGGTGCTCACAGAAGCACTGAAACCGCCCAAATACTGATTATAATAATAATAAAAAAATCTATATTTGATCAAGTATTTTTTTTTTGGAGAAGTGGTTGAAGCTGCTTCTTCAGACTGACCCACAGGGGTGTTTGTGTCGGGGCTGGGTGGGGGAGGTAGGGGGAGGCGAAACGAGTCATCCGCCATCCTCCCCCTGGGGGTCGAGCAGGATCGCTATGGCTCAGTAAGAAGTGCTGTTTCTGGGTAAGGGGATAAGCCGATGTTCTGTCCCCCCCCTCCCCATTTATAATCTGTAGGTGGTGGCAAAATCTTCACGCACACGTTCCAGCCAAGTGCACGTATTCAGGTTGTGTGTGATACTACAAAAAAGGGAGCAGTCGGCTGAACGGGGTGCGACAAGACAGCAACTGGGTTTATGTTGCATAGTGATCAAAGCTTCCCAGGTACTCCAGACTGGCTCGGTAGCAGAACTGGTACTGGTCCTGGTGGTAGGCAGAAAAAAAGAAAAAAAACATGGATAAAGAGAGAAGATGTTGCAAAATGTAACATTGGTTTGTTTATATTTGAAATGAGATATAAGGAAATCAGCCTGACCTCTGTCTGAACGGTGGCAGGTCTCTGAGTGCGCAGCATCTTGACCGTCTGGAAGATGTCCACCACCCCTTCATACCTCATCCGCTCAAGGACGATGCTAAGGGTGATGAACACACCGGTTCTTCCCACTCCAGCACTGTCAAGGGATAGAGGAAACATTTTAGAAGTTTGCTTTTAATTAGCCAGTTAGTGAGCTTTAACAGACATGAGCTTTTGTGTCTCCTGGTGGAAATAAATCTGTTTTTAAATAATTGATGTTACCCACTGCACAGTGCGACAGTGGGTATTACTGCTCCCTTACAGCAAGAAGGTCTTCCTGCATGGAGTTTGCATGTTCTCCGCTGCAAAAACGACCTAGAATTTATTTTAGAATTTTCCAAAATTAAGTGTATCTAACTTTAGCAGGTAAATAAGATGATCTGGAATGAGTATTTTTACTTTATAATTAGATAATATGCCCTTGAAATAAGAAAATGCAATTGTTTTTTCTTATGTTAAATGAAAATTGTTTGTCTCACTCACTTCCTAAATTCAAGAAAAAAGCACTAATTTTAAGAAAAAATTACTTATTTAGATTCAAATTTTTTGCAGTGTCCCTGTGCATGCGTGGGTTCTCTCCGGGTACTTTGCCTTCCTCCCACAGTCCAAAAACATGACTGTTAGGTTAATTGGCTTCTCTAAATTCTCCTTAGTGTGAGTGCGTACATGAATGATCGTTTGTCCCATTTGTCTCTGTGTTGCTGCACCCCTCGCGACCCCAGCAGAACAGAAAATGGATGGATTGATGTGACAAGTAAAGTAACCCTTTATCCTTCTACATTTCCTGTTTTTAATCGGATATGAATAGCAACATTATTTTAATGACTAATGTTCAATTCTTTTCTTTCAAGATGGTTTCATTGCTTTTTTCACACATTTCTAATCGTTAAAATTGTTTCTAATGTTTATGACGAGGGACTTTATTGTCCTTGGGTCACTTAGGTACTAAATTGGGGATATGCTTGAATGTAATATCAAGGTGTAGGATAGAAAAGGCGATTTCTTTTTTTTTTAAGTGCTTAACAGTATGTCAAATACTGAAACAGAGATTGTAGTAGATTGTAGATCTCGATGTCTACAGTCCTAAGATTAGTTATTAGAGTAACCTTTCTTAAAATTGCTCCAAAGATTATTTAAAGTCCTATACCTAGAGGATTCTACCAGGCCCCCAGCATCATAGGCCCACCACTCTATTTAACACTGCATATCAAGTGCTCCTTACAATCATTGTTTATTTGACGCCAGACACAGCTGAGATGTTTACTGCTTGGATGGTCAAATTTAGTCAAGCTCCTAAGTGTCTAGTGTAAACAAGTGGTCAGCCTTGTGTGTAAAAGATTGAGCTTTTGTACATATGGATAACAGTGTTGGGGAATTTTCCTTCAAAATAAATTATATTTAATATTCCAAGTTACCTTTATTAGAAAGTAATGTGTTTCTTTAGAATATTTACTGATTAATAGTTGCTGATTATTTATAGGTAACCTTTGCCAAAATAAACATTTAGGATGAGGATTACAAAATGAAGGTGTGCAATAATTTATCACAAATAGCCGAGTCACAAAAATGTTATTATATACGATAAGTAAACAAACCTTTACACACCTTGACACAAGATCTTTTTCTATTCCTTTTATTTGCTCCTGAGTAGAGTGGCCACACTAGGTCTAATATAAAAAGTCATATTTCCATGAAATAAACATGACAATGGTTTACACTCTTTTAATATCAACATTAATTTTAATCAGTGCAAGTTAAGCCATTTAGAAAACCTTGAACTGATTGTCGTAGCTTTCTTCTACTAATGTTTTAAAACCGTTTTTTTCTTCTGATATATTAACAAGGCTGTTTCCGAATGTCCGCCCTAACCCCTAAATCCCTCAATCACTATATGGAGCATGAACAATATAGCAAACTCAGTTAACTGACTGTTCAAAGAGATGATCACTACTTTTCACTCTCCTTTGGTCAGGTGACTCCCAGCTCGCCCCAGAACAAATCCCATGATGCTTTGTGGAGACCTCTCGCAAAGCCTTCTGGGATATATCTGCTTGCCTAGTGACCACAGTTGCACACTTCTTCAAAGTGCTTTGTGGGACATTTTTAGTCCATGACTTTTTCATCCAACAGACATTCATATAGTATGGTGGAACCCATGTATAGTGCCCTATGTAGGGCTCTTTATTTAAGCCAGCTTGTTTTTTTTTAACTGTCAGCTGTAACATGTTCCTAGAAAACTATAAAAGTGCGGAAAGCCCGAGTTCCTATAAATCAACACTAAAAACACATTTGTTTAGGATTGCCTTCGACTCTTCTAGTTAAACAGTTCAACTGAAACATCATTAGTTCAACTTTTTTATTTTCTTTAGTCCAACTGTTTTTAATATTGTTTTTTGTTTCTGCATTTTTAATTTTTTTTATTTTTATCCTACTTGCTTTGATTGTGTTTTATTTTCCTATATTTTAATCATGTAAAGCACTTTGCATTGTCTTTGTACTGAATTGTGCTATATAAATAAATTTGCATTGCCTTGCCTTACCAGCCAAAGAAACTGTAATAATATTAGCAAATTTATGTCGTAATGCATTATATTACCCTGTTCCTGCCTAATTGTGATATATTATGGCAATGCATTACCCCCAACATGGCTACATAATTATGGATGTTTGTGAAACTTCCTGACGTCTATGGATTAGCACTTAGCTGTCCTATTCAAAAACAAATTTAGGGTTCCCAAACAGTTTAACATTAATGATTTCAGAAATACATATTTCCTCTTCTAGATGTATTTAAACGTTAGGCAGCTTTTCAGTACAACTGCAATAAAAGGTGATGTAAAAAAATGCTTTTACAGATCCATATAAGGGATTGGATCAGATGTACACTCAAAAGATGTATTATATACATAACTATACATATCTAATAATTAATGAGTTTTAGTGTAAGACTATGCTTTTTAGGGTAAGCATAGTCTGCTGATTCTTATGGGTAGTCATAAAAATAACTGGATTATTTTCCTTTATAGTTTTAGATCGTCGCAATCCCAAATGTTTTAAAAGCCAATTAAATAATTTTGAACATAAACAAACCACGGTCTTACCTGCAGTGCACTGTAATCGGACCATCTTGACCAAACTGTTCTTTAGTTTTGTGCACCTGACCAATAAAATCGATGAATCCTTCACCCGATTTTGGCACTCCTTGCTCTGGCCAATCTGTGAATTGGAACTGACGAACTGTCCTTGATTGACCATCCTGTATAAAGAAAGGAAATGGGTTGTAGTTCTTGACTTTCTGCATATATCAGAACGGTTAACCAACATAGAAGCAAATGGGAGACTCACTCTGGCGTCGGTCACTTTAAACTCTCGGAGGATGTACTGAGGCATGTTATATTCAGCCATTGGATCAACCACAAAGTACTGGTACCTGGCTGATCGCTCTGCTGGCCAGTACTGATGACATTTCTCCTGTAGAGTACATAAAGCCTTCTCTTTACATCAAGTTTAGGGATTCTAGAACAGAGTTCTGCAATCTGCGGCTCCGGAGTCGCATGTGGCTCTCTGGACCATCTATGATGGCTCTTAGTAGTGGCTAAAAGAACTAACTATAATAACAAATACCAGTCTAAGAAGCTTTTGTGGTTTTTATAAAGAACATTTAAATCAAATTTTCACAACAGAATGACATTAAAGCACAATAATGTATTGTCATTTAAAAAAAAATGACATTAAATAATACCCTATGGGAGATAAGCCAGGTATCAGCTTTATGAATTGTTAATTTAGTTTTTCTTAATTTAAATACTCAAAACATATATAAGCTGTTGGTTGTTTAAAATGGCATTAGATTTCCTATAGTGGATATTTAAAGAAATAAAATGTTTTACTAGCAAAGAATATTTTGCAGCTCTAAATGATATTTACTTAGCTGGGCTCAGGGAAAAATGGCTGTTTGGATGTGAAAGTATGCCGACCCTTTCTGTAGAAACATAGCAACTTTTTATCATTAGCATCATATGACAAACAACGGTTTATTGTGTTGTGCAAAAGTATTTATTTCCCTTCAACTTCTTCAAAACGGGGATGTCAAACTGCAGTCTTGGAAGATCATTGTCCATTAACCCGAAGATGCGTCTCTGCCTCTTCAGACCTGAATCAAATAATGTTGTGAACTCTACAGAACTTGACAAAATTTTAATGAGTAAATGAAATCTGTTTAATTCAGTTTTGTTAGTCAAGATTGCTGGCTTTTGAGAACTTGAATTTGAGACCCCTGCATTACATAAACATGCTTTAGTACGTTTAATTATTATTTATGTTATCGACCAGAGAGCCCAATGAACATGATTTGACAAAGGACAATCTGAATTGGTGGCTTGCATTAGTACAGAATTTGACCCCTTTAGTCAATAAGCCACATTTTGCTGCAATTAGAGCTCCATATCTGATGGGATATGCCTCTACTTGACTCATGTACCCCTTTGGGCATTTTTTTCGTACCATTAGCACCCCTCTCAGTCAAAAGTATTGATGACTGTTCAAAAGTGGAAAGTACAATAACTGATTATAAAACAAAAACTATTTTACTAAATCTTTTAACTTGAGCATTTAATTTTTAGGCATTTTATTCGATGCATCTAAAATAAAAAAATAACATAAATATGTTGCCTGGGAGTTATTAAGAAATGGAAATAAATACAAAATAAAATCATAATATAAACCTGTATTTATAAAACTGCAGCTCCTCTGAGTAACTTCCTTATAATGATGTTTAAACTTGATGAATTGGGAACAAAAGGAAGAACAAAAATTATATTCCGGCTGACTTAATTAGTTTTACTTTGTTTTCATCAAGAAACCTGAGCTGCTTTGATGAGCTCCATAGCTCAGTGTGATAAACAGCTGATCCCGGGCTGTTCTCTACAGCCAGTCTGTTCCTCTGCCTTGTTTCAATGTGTCAAAGCTGAAGGTGAACTCAAACATATAAGGAAAACTTACTTGATAAAAGCTTATTTAATATTTCAATTATGTCCTCACAAAGCAAAACATATCCCAGCCCTGTTTTATTTTACTACCTAAGAAGTAAAATATGTTCTTGTACCCGTTGCAAATCACTCACAGTCCACTAGGGGCACACGTACCCCCGGTTGGGAATCTTGGCTCTACTGTACCAGCTGCACATCTAGAGACATTTTATTCTCATTGATCTGAGCAACATAACTCCAGCATGTGCTAGCAGGAACTTACAAAGTCTAGCCAGAGACAACTGGTGTATATGTTTGATCTAAACCTTTCCATCACATCTCTTACTGAATATATAGGACTATTATCCTGCAGGGAGACACACATCTTAGACTGAAGAAATGTTTTAGCCATGATTGTTCTGTATTTTTTGCCATCCATCTCCCCTTCACCTCTGATCATCATTGATGTCTCTACTGAACCGTGAGCATCCTGACAATATGATGCTTCCAGCATCAGGTTTCACAGTTGGGTTTGGGTGGTCAAGTGTTGAGACAGTTTGCTGCAATTTTGCATGTGGACCAAAAATGTGAGTTTAACCTTTACCAATCAGAACACCTTCTTACTTTGTTGCAAAACTACCAAGATAAGAAAATAAGGGACAGATTGGCAGAGCTAATAATGGTTGCTCAGTACACAGAATTGGGTTAACATAAAAAAAAGGCATTACAAGGCATTACACAAAAGAGCTTGTCTGTGCTTTGGCCTTACCCGTCCCATTTCTCTCAGCTTTGTCAGCATAACAACAATGGTAGAGTTGTGTTCCCACAGCATTCTCCAGTAGTCCTCTGTGGTCTCTGCCAGCGGGCCCTGGGTTGCTATATAGGCCCGCTGTTGCCTGCAGACAGAAGCACATGATTGGTACGTAGAAATACCAAGCAGATAAAGCAACGACGCACTCCAGCTAATGCTGGGCTCCCACCTGTAGCCGTCGATGAAGCTGGCGTTGATGTAGTCGGACCCTTCCACCCCTCTGATTGGCTGCAGACACACGCGCGTCGTCTCATAGGGCATGATATTCACCAGTCGGTTCTTGAACTTGTTGCACGGCAGATTGGCACTTACGAACCGGGATGTGTGGGCCTTGGCACTGGCCAAGCGCTGGAAGCAAGAAAAAAAAAAGTAATGTGCATTTTAAAAAAGAAAAACCATTTCAAATGGTTTGAGATGTTTGTGAGATCATAACCCACTTCCCACTCCAGACAGATATGGATCAACAGAAGGAAAAAGAAAACGGAAAAACAAATTTAGATAAATTCAAGGAGCATGTTGAAATGCGTTCAACAGACGGTCTGGACTTCCTCTGGCGAGTTGGACAAGTGAAATAGGATGATCAGCTAAAGCAGGCAGGCCTCAGGATATTTAGCCAGACATCTTAAATTGAATAAACAAAGTGGGGGCGACTCAGAGGGATCGGGGCAGCGGTTCGGGGAACGGAAGGGGGCGAATGTAACGAGACGAAACAGAGCAGAAGAAAAATCAAGAGTTGGGGTGCAGGAAACCACAAGGCCCCACAGTGTCTCAGCTCACATATGTGAACCACACATAATCCTGCACCAGAAGACGAAAAAAAGACCCCCCCTTTAAAAGAGTGATATAAAGAAATAAAAAACATGATTGTATGTAAGTACAAGTGTAGACAGTGGGATGACTCCCCTCAGCCTCGACCATTGGATGACATGATCTTTAAATGAGAGACAGAGCAACATAAAAATGGGTCGAGGCAGAGACCGCAGACTCTGGCAGAACAATGGAGTCTGGCAACCGAGCGGCTGTGAAAGAACCAGCACTACCTTGTTTTCTTACAGACGAGCTAAGATGGAAAATCCCCCCCCACCCGACCACAGGTCCACCAGTCATCCGGCGATGAACTATGAACTGACTTTCCAGCATCAACAGCAGTAACTCTTCACGCCGTCTGTTTTATCAGCAAGCAAACACGTCTTTACCCTTCCATTCGACACATGCCAATACCAGCTTTGAACTCGTCTAGAGAGGGGGAAACAAAAACACGGCGTCTTAAACGTGGAGCCAGGGAACTGCGCTTGTTGATTTTCTCACAGACATGCTTCAGCTTTTCTTTTCTTTTTTTATGTGACGCCATCCTCTGTGAGAAATCCCCCACGCTTTTTAGTGTTTCTCTAGTGGTGGGAGCTTCAGATGGTGACCCACGACGTCCCGTGGGTGTTCTACCGAGATGAAAGAGCAGAGGAGACGATGCTTTATGGTTTACAATCGAAGGAGAACCCACTGATATTTAAAGGGGAATGCAGGGCCATAGGATGGAGGAGAAAGCATGGAGTCGCTCTGATTTAACTGTAAAGTCTGAACAGACATAAACCATTTCCTGGGAAAATTGAAGCCTCCTGCTTTTGCTATATATATACCTGAGGAAGCCAGACTAGTCAGGCCTGCAGAGATCTTATCAGCGAAAAAGTGGATATCAGAGGAAAAACAGTTAAAAGAGGAAAACAGCTTCAGGTCTGATGTCTGCTGCTGGTCTGCTCCGTTTAGAAACCAGCTCAATAAATCTGTAAAAGTAGGACTTCTGTTTTAAGATGTGATAACCAACTTTAAAAGCGAATTCTCTCTGAAAGCACCAGCAGATCTATGAAGGCTGATATCATAAAGCTGCAACCTCTCAGGCTCCATTGTATAAAGCGCCCTTTAAGGACTGAAACTATAACTAGTAAAACATAAAGCACAAGTGAGTGAAGTACTGAGGCTGCTATTATAGGTAGTAATATAACAATGGTAAGGAGCTTAGAGGTTAACAGCCATTCTAACAAGATCTCCCTACATTAGAGGGTTTTATGTTCTGCCGCTTTCCTCAGGCTCAATTCAATCAAAGCGGGTAATAATTAGTAATATTTATTTTAGTTTAACTAACTTTTCATTATTTGTATTTTTTTTACTGCTGCTTTTTTTGTTTATTTATGGATATAATTTAACTTCCTTTATGCAGTACAGGGTTCTCAAAATGGTTTCCCTTTACAGAGCTGGAAAAACCTACAGGAAACTTCTATGTAACATGAATACAGGAGAAATGCTAAGTTTTTTTTTTTTATATGTAATCTATATTCATCTTTATTATACCAATAGTCATTCCTGTTTACGTTGTTTAAAGTTAGGACAGCGAAGAGTCACATAGGGCTCTGGCACTACCTGCTTTAGAGGTGTAAATGAATAATGATTGGGTCTAAAACTGTGGTTTAAAATAAAGAATTGGGAATATTGATTTGGAACCAAGAAAAAAAAAACTTTTAGAAGATTTATTTTTATTTATCATCAATTCACGTTGCTGGTATTTTTAATTGCAGTACTTCTTTTTGGCACAAGGGGCACTAAAGTCACTCACTTTAATTAGTGAATTAGTAATTGAATTTAATTAAATTCAATATCGTCTTTGACTTTAGGAGACTTTCAGTCCAGCCGTCTTCCTGCAGAAAACTGCACGATGCAAAGCTTTAATAATGTGGCACAGCTTTCTAATGTTTAAAGTGCATTCACGCTCTGGAATAATGTGTTTGGCTTCAATGCTTGGACAGCTGAACTAACATGAAATGCCCAGGCTTTTAACAACAATATCAGAGGCTAAAAATGTCAAGAGATGATGGAAGATATTGTGATGACAGACAAGAAAGACGAGGATGAGGAAAATGCAGGAATGCAATATTATTGTTCATTAACAATAATATTGCATTCCTAATAGCATGCTGGCCTAAGTCCATTCCGTTCCTCAGTCGGGCAGACATGTTTCCTCACCTTGAACTCCACCTCCATGCCGGTGACGTTCTCCCCAGGCTCAATCTGGGTCAGCCTCTGGATGTAGGAGTACAGGTTCCTGGCAGGGACCTCAGTGTTCCCGCACGTTACCGCCTCCAGCAGAGCATCGTGGATGAAGATGTACTGATCTTCTGTCTGGACCATGTAGTTCCTCTGGGAGCGCATCAGCGTGACGTGGCCGTAAATGTCGATGGTTTTCTCGTGCTTGATGCGCTCCGTCATGCCGTCGATGACTATGAAGCACCCGGTTCGACCCACACCAGCGCTGAGGTCATAATGAATAAATAAATGAGCTGACAGATGGCGATGTGATTGTCTCACCCTAGGTTTAATATCAGCAGTGTAAGTACTAAATCTGGGCCTGGACAGCTCCAACGTTTGGTGCTTAAATGAGGCAAAACAGCCAATTGGTGATAGTTCCAACATGTAAACACGTTAAAAATGGAAATCAGCAATGAGTCAGCTTTATAAATATATCACCCCTATCGATATATAATCCAGAAACTTAATACATTTAGCTGCCAACCCAAACACTTCACATTTCTGCTGTGCTGGTAGCTAAATGGTGAGACGACCTGACCGAGCAGGTTTCTGCCAGCGGATAGAAAGCCCTTTATGTGATTACATTAATATTACTCTGTGTGTGCGTGTATGTTCAGGTGGAATGAGATTGGGTCTGTGGAGGCTGGTTGATGTGTTAAGGCACATCATGATGGAGTCTTGCCGAGATAATTAAATTTGACTGATAATCCTGCTGGATACTCCATCTGACTGTGACAGAAGATTAGGAAGAGCTTCTCTCCTGCCAGCCTCCTGCCCTCATCCCCCTGCCTCTTTATCTTCCCTCCAAGTACCCGTCTGAAACTTGCACACCAGCACAGACACTTTTTCACTCTCACATTTCTGCTTTTTTTTTTTTCACACTCCATTTTCTCCCCATCTCTGTGATTCTTTAATTCATCATTTTCATTCATTGCGTCCTGGATTTCACCTCACCTTGCTCTCCTATTCTGCACCAGTCTCCCCCCTCTGACTCCCACTCCTCCTGATACCACTTTCCTTCAATCATTGTCTCCGATCCCTCTCCCTTTCTTCCTCCACGTCCATATCCACTAATTCCTCCCCCTGAGAGCTTCTGCTCCATATTTTCTCCACTCAGCTCTAACTTTTCTTTTTCCTCACTTCTCTCTCTCTCTCTTGCTGGTAAAAGCAAATAGGTGTTTCTTTCCAGCTCTGGAACTCGACGCTGCGCAGTGACAGTAATGACACGTTTTTAGAATCTTCCTCCATCCAGCAAATGAGCTTCCCGCTGCTTAGACAGCAACTCATTTCAATGTAAACTTATGAACCCAATTTTTTTTCCAGCAGCAAGAATGGGCAGTATTCAACACTGGAAAGTAATCATGGAAAAATATTTGAGCTGGTGAATTCTGTGAAGTAAGGAATGCAGGAGTCTCAGTCATGGTGGTTTGGGGTTTGCATATTGGCAGGTAATTCCAGGCACTTAAACTCTGGCTGTTTTTCATAAACTAAAACCTCGAAATTACCCCAAAAAGAAGCAGGAAACAAATCTGATCCTGAAATCAGGTTTGTAATTACTGAATAGATAGAACCAAAACTAGCTAGGTATTATAGAAATGTTGACACACCTGCAGTGCACAATCATTGGTCCAGCATCTGGAGGGTTGCAGGCCTTAACCCGCCGGAGAAAGGCCAGGAACGGGGTGGGATGTTCAGGGACACCGTGGTCAGGCCAGGCTGTAAACTGGAAGTGACGAACTTCACGCTTCTCATTAGAGCCGCTCTGCAGAAGCAGAAAGGGGAGATTAGCCACTACACAGCAAAAGCAATCAAACATTTCTAAATTTAGCCTTCATTTAAGCAGGTAAATAAGATTATTTGCCAATGAAATGAGTTGAATTCTTACTCTTAAAATAAGATAATTAGATAATATGCATTTGAAATAAGAGCCTGCAAATGTTTTTTTTTTTATTTTCAATGTAAATTCTCTTGTTACATTGGCAAAGTGCCTCACTTACCTCCTCAATTCAAGAGAAAGTTCACTTATTTTTAATAAAAATTGACTTGAGATTTCCATATTTTGTAGTGTAATGAAGCTACTGTCATTGTTTTCCTTTCAATTTAAAAAAGCTCTCCCCTCCAAAAGAAAATAGTATTGAGAACCTGTTAGAAGAATAGATTAGCTCAGTTTGGAGTTAGGCCTTTTGTTCGCATTGAAAAGCGATCTAAACTGCCTCATGCAGTTATCCATCATTGCAGAGTGCGCCATTTTAATATTCAGTCTAAATATTTTGTGATATATAATTTCCATCTGAATCACAAATACCTGAAATGAGTTTCTGATTGTAAAAAATGCTTTTAAGAAATACACTGTATGACATTGGCCGATTGCAGCGTGTCAAAAAAAAAAAAAAGACAACCAAGAAAGATTGGGAAAAAAAGGAGCTAACAGCTTATTCCTTTGGTTTAGTTTCCTCTCTTTGATTCGTTGATTAGTCCGTTTGGATTTCGGATCGCCCAAGGGTTTATTTTTTTGTGAGTGAACCAAGATTCAGGCAGACCAGAAATACTACTTTGGTCCGTACTACACGTTAGACCAGCTTTCATCAGCTTTCTTTCGATCTACAGGAAACCAGTTTTCAGAGGAAACAAAGGTGCTTTGGTGTAAAAGCACCTTTCATTTATACAGTCCCTACAGAGTTAATTTTCACCAGCTTCTATGGTTTTCTTTGATGTGATTGTATCTGATAATTCATGCTTTTGATAGCTGCTTTGTTTATCTTCCTAACGTATTGGTATTTTTCAAATCTTTGTCTTTTTGTTTTTCTTGTGGGGCACTTTGAATTATTCGTTGTATTATGGAGCTAAACAAATAAACCTGGCCTGCCTTCCTTCACTGGTTTAGTCATTACTTTTCTTCAGTGCTTCCTTGTCCAGTAGTAAAAACAATCTGTTTAACATGTGCAGTAGTAATCCCCACTGCAGTGTATATACAGGCAACCAGTTTTTATTAACTCCTTGTTAGCCCTCCCTTAAGCTTCCACGTTGAGCCATCTCCGATTCCTTTCCATTAGTATGTTTTCATTAGTTTTTCATCATGTTTTCACTCTCTTACCTGCAGTAGAATCCTCATGCTACCAACCTCTTCCTCTTATTTTTACTGATATAAAATTATTATAAGTACAGCGATTGTGAGTTACCTGAACAATTTGATTTACCTCTCCTCTCCTCTCCTCTCCTCTCCTCTCCTCTCCTCTCCTCTCCTCTCCTCTCCTCTCCTCTCCTCTCCTCTCCTCTCCTCTCCTCTCCTCTCCTCTCCTCTCCTCTCCTCTCCTCTCCTCTCCTCTCCTCTCCTCTCCTCTCCTCTCCTCTCCTAGCTTTATTAGGACCAATAGTTGATCTTTCTGTCTGCAGTTACCAAAAAGTTGTCTGCTCCACTCGGCCAACTGGTTCGGCTGTTTCCAAAATAAGGGTTGGCATCTCCACCCTGCAGTTTTCTTTCCATGTTTTTTAGTGAGATTAAAATCTGGAATCATTTGAGAAGGGTGTTTTTTTTCTTCTTCTGCCATTTTAAAGCTTTTAGCTGTGTATCTTGGAATGTTATCCTGTCGGAGAACCATTGAACTGTGACTCAGACTGGATTTTCCCACACTAGATGGAATGTTTTGCTCCAAAAGCCATGGAAGTATTGAGACTTTACTCCATTCTGTAGAGACTCTGAGGTATTGATAAAGATAGGGCGAACCCTCCTCAAAAAGTCAATCTACATCATGTTTTAATGGAGGCATGTTGTTCTTCTCCTATAAAGATTTACATTGTTTTTCCATTTGCAGATACGGCTGATGACACTGATCATAAAAGCTCAAAATGTATCTAATTTTTTAGTAGAAACTTTGGGAATGATGCAACAGAGATGCAATTTGACGCTAGAGTTCAGCTTAAAAGGATTGACCAGTCTTTTTTTCCACAACATTAGTCTCATCATGGGAGGTTGGCATTCTAATAAATGAAATATACAATTTTTTTTAATAACTGTATTATTGCTATTGTATTTAAAAGTAGAAGGAACAAATCATGATGTGCTTTTTATGAGATACCGTAGGTAGAAAACTCATCTTGCAATCTAAAAGTTGTGAGTTCCATTACATCTTCCTCCTATTCCCTTGAGAGGGTTCTTAGCCCCAAGGGCAACTAATATGTATGAATCTGAGTGCCACTGTGTGCTCAGTGTAAAGTGATTTGAGTTGTGAGTAAGACTTGACAAGCAGTACATTTTACAAGTAATAACAAACACTTTGATTTGTATTCTGATTTTTACAGGCCTAAAGAAGATAAAAGCAAACAGATAAAAATTGTGTTTTTCAGTTTGATTGATCTGGGCCAATGATTAACCTGCTGGACACTTGGAAAAAATGACAACCTCCAATCAGTGCGTGCACTATAGTCATGCTATAAGGTCTGATTAACCCTAAAAGGCCTTTCAGACAAGATGCAGTTTGCTATGCACTTGCTGCTCGGCAATGAACGCTGTTGCACTGGCTGTTCGTTGCTGCGCTGGCGGAACAAATATGGACGCTGTGCCCTGGAGCTCCCTTGTGCTTGCCCCTTGCATTCATTCAATCCTGTCTGACAGACCGATAACCCTTGATTGCAGATGCTGTAACTGACCGAAGAAGACTTATCAATAAACTTATCAACAGTGATACAGTGGTACAGTAGGAAGCTATTGAAGAAAGCTGTATGTTGAGTGAATTGCTGAGACGTATTTGTGGTTTAATCAGACAGCAGGAGAGAACAAGATTTTCAGCAGATAACAGGAAGGCTAAATCAAATTTTATGAAGTTGTGGTTCTGTTGTGGAATAAGCAACATTAACAAATGCTGAGAACCTTCAAGAAATGTAAATAGATAATCTCTGTCTATTCTAAAGAATACGAAGTTATTGATGGTTTAGCAAAGATAACCATGCAAACAGTTCTAATTGTTAATATTAGAAGCTAAATAGTCTAAAAATCCCAATTCTACCACGATTGCTTAAATATCTCATATACACAAAAGCTAACATTGTGTGTGCTCCAATTATTAATGACAAAAAGATTGTCTTTAAGTGTTCATTTGTTGTATCTTCTTAAAAACTACCAATTAGACAGCAGACATTTGCCAAAAAAATACATATAAATGGGAAGATCTCTGCTCAACAAAGCACCATTTGGACAATTTCACTGCGAACAACCCTCAGCACTGTTAAAAAATGCTACCTTGTAAAGAGCGAAGGTCCTCATAGAGTAGGTGGCCAGCTCCACCGTGTCCAGCAGAGTGACCTGTATGAGGCCATAGGTCTCTGTGCCACGTGTTGGCCAGTACTGATCGCATTTCACCTACAAGAGAAAAAGACGAGAAGTTGTGAGATGCAGGGTTTTTTTTTTTTTTTTTTGCATGTGCACAGTTCTGTGAAGCAAGATTAGAAAAAAAAACATTGAAGAGGGGAACATATGCAAAAGGAGGTGAAGAAAGGAGAGAGAAGCGATGAAGTAGATCAGTTTAAGATTTTAATAGTTCAGATCAAAATACTGAAATAAATGCATACAGAATCAAACCAGTGATGGGAAAGTGGTTTTAGTGAGTGTGTGCAGTGAGAAGTGACAGCAAGAGGAATCAATCCACGACCACCAAAGCACCTGGAATTTCTCGGTCTAGGGCGATCATTTTTGTAGTTCTATAGCTCAGCTACAGAGACTTAAGAGAAAGGAAGAAAAGAAAATCCCAGAGGGGATAAAAGAGGTTGGTAGGGGTGGGCCTTGGCAGAACCAGGCCAAACCAAACGTTATGTGCTGATCCCTCCGCTCTTCACATCAAAGACGGCAGGGAGCTCAGCACTCAGTTTGCCCTGCATTCCACTGCTCCAGACTGGGGATTATGCATTTTGGCCTGGGATGTTCAGGCTGTAATTACAGCTTTCCAACTGTTGTTTTCCCACCAGACCTTGAGAAGCTGCAGGGACAGAAATGATTGTCCACATAGGGGGGCTGAGCTCATTGCCAGTGAATAAAGGGGGCAGAAAAAAGCCAAAAAAAAGGGAGCAAAAATGGTGTGAAGACTGTATTAACTGTAGAGTTATGGGCCCCAACAGGATGAATGGGAACTGATTTGTGCTTGGAGGACGGATACTGGCAAGAGTCCCAATGTGGGACCATCTGTGATAGTCTTTGCTCTAAATGGGCAAACACACGACGCCGTAACATTGAAAGGTGTAAAATAAGATCAATTTTTTTTAAATGAGCTGCTCACTACTCAAACACAACCAGTCTTACAGCCACAGGAAGAACAGCAAGACCCAATTTGTCCACATTGACAGATTCCCCTCGCAGGAATTTAACACGGATCGAATGAAGCCTGATTAAGCTCAAACATTAAATGTTGATCAAGATTTTATGCAAAGTCTGATGAACTACTGTACTCTTTTAATGGTGGTAGACAGAAAATAAAAAAAGTGTTGTGATCATGCAAACTGTACCGATGTGCATTGTCTCTGACCTGAAGCGGTTAAAAATAACCCCATTTCAGACCATGTTAGGTGGCTTTTGGTAAACGAGTCTGCATTATCACTCAATACAGCTGAGAAAATAAACCAAACAGAGGGAATAAAGGGGGGAAAGGGATAAGGGTGCATTAAAAAAGGGGAGGATTAGAAAAGGAGTGAAAGAGAGATCTTGCCTTAGAGAAGAAATAAGAGGGCATCTGAGGGTCAGAGAGACACAACAGAGACGGTTGGAAAAGGTTGAAAAGGAAAGAGAGTTTTAACACAAAGCACAAGTTAGTAGGAGAAGAAGCACAGGCGGGGAGGAAGGACCGGTTTCTGAAAAGGACCCCGGACATAATAGTTAGCACTTAATCATGATTCATACCTCCAGCCATTCTTGTTCATTTTATTCTTACATGACATTCTCATTATGCTTGATTTTCACTCAGGCGCACATTCAGTTAACAGCGAAATGCCTCAGAATCAAACGACTTTCTAATTCATTACCGACCTCAGTTTAGCTGTGTCTGTAATCCCCTTTCAGCCCTTGCTCATCAACATACTGCTCTGCTCTATTCTGTTCTGATCCACTTCATGTGGCCTTGTGCTGCTCGCTGCTTCGAGTCAAAAAAAAGGATTTTAAGCTAATGATTATGGGCAGTGCCCTGGAAACGTATTCTTACCCCTACAATATTTTTCATGTGACAAATGCAAGTTTTTAATGTGTTTTTATTGGGATTTTATGTGACTCAACAACACAAATAGATCAGAGTGGAATGAAAATGGACAAATAATTAAAATTTTACAGTAAATTAAGTTCTTAAAAGTGGGAATGTGTTTGTATTGAATTTCCCTCCAACAGTATTACTTGTCATCCCCTTTTCTGTTGAATTTCATCTGTCAGTCCTTTGGTGTACGACTTTACCAACTTTACAGATTTATTAAATCCACTATGCAAAGTAGCTAAAGCTTAGTTAGAATGGATTAAAAGCATCTATTAGAATAAATTTTCAAGTTTTGCCAAATATTTTCAATAGGATTTCGTTTACTGTGACTAGGACATTCCAAAATAACAATTAAGCGTTGGTCTTATCCTGCTAAAAGGAGAAACTCCTGACAAGTCTTGACTCTTTTGCACTGAAAGGTTTTTATTTAGGATTGTTCTGTATCTCAGCTCTGTCCATATTCACATCCACTCTACGCTTAGCTTTTTCAGTCCCCCTGAAATAGATATCGTCCCGACAAATGTTGCAGTCATTACCGTGTTTGAACATTGGAAGGAGGTATTTAGGTCGATGCTGAGTATAAATGTTTTGTCAAACATCAATCTCAACAAAGAACTTAACAGTCATGGCTTTCGTTTTGAGAGAATGGCTTTCATCTTAGCGCAAGACTAGTTATTGTGCTGTCAATATTCTTCTTTATAGGGTATCAAAGGAAGGAAGGCTATAAAGACGAAGATCCATCTTTCTATATTAGGAAAAGAAATCAAAAACCTTGTGTCATTTTTCGCTTCACAGTAATGCAATGCTGTGTGTTGATCTTTTAACAAGTACTGCAAATAATGAAAAAATGACATGACAGTGTGCCTCTATATACAATTATAAAAAAGTAATTCATTATAAATAAACGTTGTAAATTAATAAATTAGCTAGTGTCCAATCAAGCTAGAGTGGGTTTCTGATTATTGTTCTGGTGTCAGGTACTTTACACAATTTATTCTTGTGACAGTTTTCCTTCCAACATACTCACTAGCCTACCGTAGCTGAACATAAATGGCTTCTCATGGCACCATTAATCACCCTAGATCCAATCCAATTTTTATTTCCCCTTATTTAACTGGCTTCAAGCATTTAACTCTCTCTCCTACAGTGTGCAAGGTTCCTTGGCTTTTTTGTTCTTCAGTCGCAGTCAACCTGGTATGTTGAATAGTTATTACTCTACCCTGTTCTTGCTGCTTTACTCTACATTTATTTCTCCATGTTATCTTACCCTTGACTTCTCCTCCAGCTTGGTCATCATGACAATGTTGGCTGTGTGCTGCTCCCAGACCATCCTCCAGAAATCCCCAAAGGTCTCCGGAAGAGGGCCTTGCGTGGCTATGTAGGCATTCTGACGACGGTAGCCATCAATGTAGTTGGCATTCATATAGTCACTGCCAGGGACACCTGGGTAATAAGAGGAAGACTAAAGTTAAAAGTATGTTGAACTAAAGTGTCATGAAAGAAGGTAAAGATCCAAAGGTCACAAGTCGGGAGAAATAATATTTTATAGAAAATTGGCAAATATTTTCATTATCAAAATGAAAATATTGGATTATATTAAGCTAATAAAGTTCCAAATTTCATATCAGTCTGTCTGTCTGAATGATCTCATTTAATTTGTTTGACTAAGGTCCTGTAAATGATGAACAGTAGCAATGAGGGCTGCATTGTTGCCTTGTATCCAGAAGGTCTGGGATTTGAGCCCAGGATCTCTCTGCATGGAGTTTGGATATCTTGCAGCACATGCATAGATTCTCTCCTTCCACTGTTCGAAAAGTTGACTAGTAAGTTAACTGTTGTCTCTCATTGATGTTTGAGAGTCTCTGCCATACCCTGCAATGGTGACCTGCTTAGTGTGTAGCCCACCTTTCCCTCATAGTGGCAGAATATGGCTAGATGGAAGCAGCAATGATAAAGAGATGGGTGTTGTCAGCCTATACTCTGGTATACTTTTGTGGTTAATCAGTGATTAGCTGGGGTGCTGATGTTTATACCAGAAAGGATGACTCGAAGCACAGACCATACTGTCAAAATGTTGCAGCTAAAACAACTTGATTTATCTTTCACTTAAATGTTGTTCACATCTGTGGGCCTAACAGCAATGGAACCAGGTATGGTCTTCTGCTGTTGTAGCCCACTGACATGTTTTCCTCTTAGATATGATGCTCTGGAGATGTAGCAGTGCTGTAGAGGTTAACCCGTGTATGCTGCTTTCTATGCGCGTCTGCGTGCTGTGGTCAAAGTTCAGCCTATTTGAACTTTGACTGTGGCTTGCAAGGGACCTTTCCTTAGCACAGCGCTTTTGGGCCTTTGTTTGGCACATGCTATTGAAAATAATGGATTTCAATGTTCAGTGGTGCACACGCTGCATCCTGACTGAAAGCCCCTTCAGTCCTTGATGCACCTGTCATGGGTTCAAGTCCCGGCCTGTCTCTACATGTCTTCTCTCCTCTCTGCAATCATTAATTTCAAATATAACAAAAGTAAAAAAAGTTTTCTGCATACCTTGGTCCAGAGTAAGTTTGCCCACCAAACTCAGCCTCGTTCTTCTCAGACATTAAGGTCCCATTTAATTAGTGATTTCTAAGATAAACACTGCATAACACTGCATATTTGTGCCATGTGTTCTGAACTTCCAAATCAATGCATTTTCTTTGCACGTTTTTTCTTTTTTTTCCCACGTTTGCATTTCATCACTGCTGCACTTATTAATTTAACAGATGTACCTGATGGATGGATGGTTGGTTAGTATATATTTATAAAAAGAAATAAATAAAAGGGATTAATAGTGGTCCCCTTCATACTGCTAAGTTCTTGCATTGTGAAAAAATTCAAACTGGATGTAACATTACATCCCTTTCAGATGCCTAACATGTTAAAAAAAGGATTCAAATCACAGCAGTTCTCAATGAATTAGTTCATCTCACTGCGAACATCAGTTTTATTCAGCTGTATGGAGAAAAAAAAAATATTTAAAGGGATTACCTAAGTCTACTGCTTTGACAGACGGTTTATGTCAAAGTAATAAAGGTTGAGAATCATATAAGGTCCTGGAAGAAAGATTAATGATTTCACAGGGCCCAGTGTCCTCTGGTGCTGGATTGTTCCGTCATCTTGTTTTATTATACAAGCTAAGACGATCATGGGCTTAATCTGAGTATAGTGCGGATGTTTCGCCTACAATGGCAGAACGACTGTAAGGCCGTCTCTGTGTAAGACTCGGCTGACGCTGCCTGTCCTGCAGGGGATTGTGTGCGAGTGTGTGTGCGATGTGGGAGAAGGTCTGTGTGTGTTTGATTTGGGATCAGGCCCGCTCATCTAGGGCCTAATACCATAATCCCAAAAATCACTGAGTCACAGCTCAAACATGCACGCATACGCAGAAAACACAGACTCAAAGACATGCGTTCAGAACGCACGCTGCACACTGAGCCGTGACCCGAATCCTTTAGAGTCTTCTGATGACAGTTTACAGTTAAAAAACTAAAAAAGACCCCCCCCCCCCAAAAAAAAAGTCCAAGTGAAAACCGCAGAATCCCTACAGAAAGAAACCAGCGAAGCTGATTTTCTGAGGCAGATTACTTTATCAGAACGACCCGTGCAGTTGTAAAACCCCAATCCAACATCTCACACGGTTCAGACGCACAAACCCGTTTAAATAGAAGACTCTTTTTTCTTACATCTTAGTTCCAATGGGATGGTGACAGACAGTAATACGAGCTTCAAACATATGTTTATCAGCCTCAGTCTTTAAAGGACAGACGGCTTTAATGCTTTGATGCGCTTTAACTTAATGCAAGGGACTAAAACAGAGGCACTCTGCAGATAAATGCACACAGAGTTACACTTTCTCTGTGGCTGAACTGGCTTGGCAGAGCTTCTGCTTTTATGTGTGAGGGAGACTGGGAGCAAAAAGTGCATATCTGTGCTTTCCCATATTCTGTTTTTTTCTTTTAAATTTACAGCACAGAGAATGTGTGTGCGTGCATGCATTGATAAATGTGTGGCACTGTGGCTTTGGATGTGCTCAAGAGTATATGTTTTCAAAGCTGAAAGGAAGACAGACAAGCCAGGGCTCCAGGACAAATGGGGGTGGTAGGGCTTTTCACACATGCTCTGCCCAGATAAGGCACATCTATTTGGGCTTGGCCTCCCACTGCCTCCTTCTCTGTGCATTGGAGCTGCTGGTTTTACTGCCTCAGGTCTTTCCCAGCTGAGGTGGGTGAGCGTGCTTTAAAATGCACAATCAGAACAGAACTACGACTATTTTCTCTTTTTTAATTCCACCTCTCATTATAAATCATTCAACTGGTCAGAATGCACAGAAACTGGTACATGTTGAACGTATTCCTGAGAATTTTCAAGAGCAGATTTTCATAACCAAATCCTCTGAGTCTGAAATTATTATTGCATCTTAAAAAATATATAACATAATAGGAGAAAATGTGGGATATTTTATTGAAATATGTATTTTTAGTTGACTTTTTTGATATAAAACAAATAAAGTATCAGAAAATTGAGAAACAAAAACATATTCAGACATTCAGACATCATATAAGTGTGGTAAGGATTCTCCATCCACACACAGTGGGAGTATTTCATATATCATAGCGCACATGTCTTAGCCAGTTTGTCTCTTTTAATAATATATTAATAAATAATAGTGTTTGGGAGAAGGTTAGAGGTACCATAAAAAAAATCTAAGGACTTCATTGATTGCTCCAACACAGTGAATTCAAAACTCTAAAATCTAATTGGTAAAAGCAGCGTCTCTGAACGCTACCAGCTCCTGCTGAAGCAACATTCAGCAGGAGTGACGTGTTTGGAATAAAATCGATTGAAGCAGCATTAATCTAGGCTTCAACAAAGGAGAGGTCGATATCAGCTGATTCTAAAGGAATCCAAAATCTCCCAAACATAGTAAAGCAGTTTTTTGGCCCTAGTTACTTTATGAGCAGGTGTAGAGAACAGTGATCCTTACCCTGTCTGTGACAATAATCATTTTAGACACAGGGATAATGCAGCCTGGGATTTGATGGCAATCCAGATTGGATGTTAGAGCCAGAACCATGTAAGATTGATAGTTTATAGCGGTTCACTGAGTGTGTGCAGCTGCTCCAGTACCAGCCCCTGGCACCGGCACAGGTGGTTTGCTAGGACACTGGTGTGTGGGATGGAGGAAGTAGCAATGACAGCATGGTGACAGATCTAGATCTAAATACATGGGGGACTTTTTATGCATTACTTTTTTTTTTGTTTTTTTAATGTTTGTTATCTATTTTATTTTTGTAGTTTTTTGTTTTTTTATTGTAAAGAAGGTGGTGTTTTGTGTTTGATGATGAAACCTAGACTCTTGTCTCTCTACTGTCTGTACTGAACGAAATTTCATTTTGTATACACTGTGTGTACAAAATGGCAATAAAGTTTGTGTAAGTCTAAGACTCTTGCATGTGAAAACAGACATGCATGTTAATAGTCATCAGGTAATGTAAGTAATTCAGAGCAGCTCATTCTGCCTTTAATTTCTCTAATCATTCTTTTTATTTAAATACATGTTAACATTCTGCCATGCTTATAACAGTGGTGTTGCAATGAGTTTTCAGATTTTAGCTTGGCTGCTGTTAAAAACAGATTGATGCAGAGCTATGCATTAGCTAGGTGTACAACTCCGTTAAGGTAAAATCAAAAAACTCTCAGAACAAAAAAAAAAAAGTAAATGGTACATTTAACAACTGTGGAGTTAAATGCATGTAACACAATACCTTACTTTTGTATTTTCACAATTAAACTGAATAGCTTGTTTTACTGATAAATAAATTGAAATATATGACCTGGAGTATGTCTATGACTCCATTGAACCCATTTCAAGTGACTTTGAGGACAACATGTGTTGCAAATTGGCACTGATTCATTAAAAATGAATTTAAATTCATTTTCTAATCCAACTTTCTTTTTTTTTCATCAAACTGCATCTAAATCTATTACCCTGCAAAAATCCTTTAAAAGAATATCAGGCCCCACTGAAGGTTTTCTTACCATCAATGCTGGAGAGTATGACCCTGGAGTGATCGTATGCAATGACATTAGCATAGCGGTTCTTTGGTTTGTTGACCTCCAAGTTGGAGTTTTCCCATGTGAATTGCTGAGCTGGGTCTACGGACTGAAACACACAAAAGGGAGAAGAAAGATAACGTTAGAAGTGTGTGATATTCTCTGAGGTGGATAGGTAACACATTTATGTCATGGCAAGAAAGTATAACACTGTTCTCAAAGTTTTGATTGGAAAAAGGAATGTGTGAAACCCCCTTCAATTACCTTATAGATGCATTGAAGTAGCAGCAACAGATGTAGATTTTATTAAAATACTAGAAAATCTTCAAGCTGTACTTACCGTAAGTGGTCAAAGTATGCTTACTAAGGATAAAAGCCTTTTTTGACTAGTTATGGTGGAATTACATCAAAGAAAGACAAATATCTGACCTAATTAGCTTTAACTAAACTCAGTTCTCTATACCCGAAACTAAAAGTATTTTTTAGAAGAAAGGTAGATGCTAATAGTTTAACTTTGTTAAGTAAACGTATCTCTGTTGTTTGTTATTGACTATGCTTGGCTTCTTACTATGCATTGCTTTCTGCCAGAGAAAAACACTACTTTATCAGAGGTGTCAAGTAACAAAATAGGAATACTTTGTTACCTTACTAAAGTACACATTTTGTCTATCTATAATTTACTGGAGTAATTACTTTTTAGACAACTTTTTACTTCTACTTCTTAAATTTTTTGCACTTATCTCTACTTTCTCCTTACATTTTAAAAATAGACTTGTTAGTTTTGTTTCATTAAAGCTCATTTTCGTCATGGCCTGTTGGGTTGAAAAAAAAAAAAAAGACATCCAAATAACTTGATTCAAACAGACTAATTTCTTTGGGGTTGGACTTGGTACTGCACAGTTGTTCGCCACATAACAAAATACATAGTTTTGATGTAAAGAGAAATTTGACACTGTTGTCATCCAGAAATGCGGAAAAGCATGTTTCTGGGCGTGCTTCGGTGGTGCAGTGCTTAGCGCACAGACCCATGTACGGAGGCCTTAGTGCAGTAAAGCGTTTCTTTTTTTCTGCAAGTAGTTTTGAAAACTGTACTTTTACACTTTTACTTGAGTAAAAACTTAAGTTGATGCTGATAAATACTGATATATACTTTTACTTTAGTAATAAACATAAATTCTTTTGACACCTCTGTACTTTACTCATCCCTTTTTTTTTAACCTGATCCCTTCTGGCAAAGATTCCCAGCGGTTCTTCTGTCTTTATCTCACTTTATTCACACAGTTCTCTTCATCAACACCAAACCATCAGCAAATCCTTCTTTATCAGATCCATGAATCTTCCTAATCTTTTCTTTGTATCTTTTTCAACCCTGGCAGCTTATAGACCCTCCTTTGTGAAATATATCAATTATCCCACCTCTACAAAGTTTTTAGCCCGTTTAAATGAGAGTTTAATTAACTTTGAATCCTATCTATCGCTTTTTGTCCCTATTGTTGGGACATTTCAACATTGCCACCCCTCTTTGCTTTTTGTATTAGTATTATTTTAAACCATAAATCACCGAAAGCCTCACAACCACCTCATCTTTTGCCTCAATATTAGTATTTGCCACTTGCCACGAGTCAGTCTGCACTCTTGTCTTCACCTCTTTAGCACAGACAATTGACCCCAAGTACTCAAACTCATCTACTTTACCTTGCTGTTCCACCTGTCTTCTTCTCTCACACACATTTATCAAATCTTTGTTTACCTACATAGCAAACTTCGACTCGTTCTAGCCAACTCCCACCTGCTTTTAACTTTGACTGTAATTTACAATGTTGTCTGGAGACATTATAATGCATTAGGGTTCCTGCCAAACTCAATCAGTCAGCTTTCCATCATCACGGTGTACAACAAGAGGTTTAAGGCTGAACTCTTGGTTTAATTACTTCCCTGAACTAGCTGTGAAAGCGCCATTACATTACTGGTGCTTAGGGAGACCTTATCTCTATGTAGGACCACTAGGATGCTTATGAGGGACAATGAGAAGCCAGACGTGCTGTGCGACTTACTTCTATACACTGCAAAAAATGTTAATCTTAATAAGTACATTTTTCTTAAAATAAGTGCATTTTTTCTTGAATTGAGGAGGTAAGTGAGACACTTTGCCAATGGAACAAGACAATTTACATTTAAAATAAGAAAAAACTATTGCATTTTCTTATTTCAAGTGAATTTGATCTAATTATCTTATTTTAAGAGTAAAAATACTCATTCCATTGGCAAATCCTCTTACTTACTCAAATTAAGGGTAAATACACTTAATTTAAGAAATCTTTACTTATTTCTAGATTGTTTTTGCAGTGTAGCATCACCTATCACTGTCCTCATTAAGTTATAAACCATTTCACAGTGTTTGTTTCGGCGTCTTCTTTACTGCAAACATAGTTTCCATCATATTTTGTGCTGAAATTCTTTACTGTTTTGTTTTAAGAACATCATAAGTAGCTTGGTCATGACATGGGGTAGCCCTGGTAATAACCTGCAATGGCTACAATACTAAGGTTATTGGAAATTAACATTACTTTTGATGATCTGGACCATTAAATAAAGACTCTTGAAGGGGGGGACAGATATATTTGACCATACTGTTTTTTCAATTTGCACATTTCATCCATCCATCCCTTTTTTTAACACGCTTAATCCCAAGTGGGGTCACGAGGGGTGCTGGTGTCTATCTCCAGCTGTCAATGGGCGAGAGGTGGGGTACACCCTGGACAGGTCGCCAGTCCATCGCAGCGCAACACAGAGACAAACAGGACAAACAACCATTTGTGCACACAATTTAGAGAGGCCAATTAACCTAGCATTCATGTTTTGGACTGTGGGAGGAAGCCGGAGTACCCAGAGAGAACCCATGCATGCTCAGGGAGAACATTCAAACTCCATGCAGAAAAACCCAGACCAGGAATTGAACCCAGAACCTAGTTGCTGCAGGGCAGCAGTGCAACCCACTGCACCACAGATCAGCCCCCAAAATACTAAAATTGCACATTTTAAAACAATTTTCAACTAGCAAAAAATGTCAGGATGTGTTGAGGTGGAAGCCAGGTACTAACCCTGTCGAATCTAGCTACAAATTAAAGATGAGCTCAATATTACCGTCTCTAGGCAGGAACATGGATACTTATGATATCCTTTTTGAAGAGAGAGACTTTCCACTTTCAACAGAGACACTCACTACCGGGGAAAGATGATAAAAGCACAATAAATTCCCACTGGTAGAGAGAGGATGGTTTTGTCAGACCATTAAGCTCCTGGAGGGTAATTACAGTGTAACTGTTGCTGTTAGCTGGGAGAGGCAGACATGAGGTCATTACGGGTCTGTCAATGGAGAGGCACAAAGAGTGGAGAGCCAAGGCAATTTAGCAATTTTGAATATTTTACGACACATAATTATGGTTTTTGTGGAGGAAAAATAGACAGGAGTGGTGCTGGCTGAGTGCATGTATGTGGATTCACAAGTTCAAGACTGCTTTTCGCGCGGTGCCAACATCAAGTGTGTCTGATTATCACACCGCAATCATTTCTGGCCTCCCTGCCGTTCCTCGGCAGCTCTTCCACCCGTCCCTCTTGCCGGTCCGCCGAGGGTTCAGCACCGAACAAAGCACACAGTCATGCAGAGAGAATGTGAGGCCCAGCAGAGCAGTGTGAGTGCCAACCACAGTCAAACACACAGCTTCTCCATCACCGTCTCCGTTTTTCCTTCTGTTAAACACCCTTAGTTGGGTTATTTCTTTCTACTTACGTTTTATACATCTGTCACACACAATCTGTCTCTTTCTTGTGGTAGCCAATTAGGGCCTTTTGCCTCCTTCTTCACCCGGAGGCCCTTTGGTGGACAGAAAATATTTCTTTTGTGGCAAAACTAAACACTATTACTGCTTTAACAGCTCTCTGTGGAGCTCATTGTAATGCAAACTCTCACTGGTGTCACAGCCAGCTTGTTTAGAAATTATTCTGCTGATCTGTCCAATTTTGCCATCGCTGCTTCAAATTAACTCTGCCAAAGTTGGAGAAATCTAATCAAGAAATTTCAGAGAACATTTTCAGTTCTTTGTAGCTGCTTCTTGATTTTGTTTTTTCTCTTTCCACACCAGAGCATTGAAATGGGAGCTTGATAACCATCTTGACTTCAGGCAAACTATGTTTGAGATTTCAAATTTCATACTCATGTATAGAACAACACAACAGTAAAAGGGAGGAAAGTTGACTTTATCTTGTATCGTTCCAAGTCAGCTAATCAAAAGGCGAGGTTACTGAAATTGAAAAATGACATGCTTCTGATAAACATGAGTGACTTCAACAAAAAAAACCAGATGAGTTTCCCCGAGTTAGAGATAATCAGCATTCCTACCTCATACTCTTGAGAGAACTTGAGATTGTCATTTGCCTTGAGGCGCTCGATGTGATCTGCCAGCTCCGAGATGGGGACAGGCGGGTGACTTGCCATGCCTGCCGAGCACAGAGAGAAGCTCTTTTGTTACCGACACTGTACAACTAAACTCTTTTACAAGAAAAAAATTAAAAGCGGTGGATCCTGAAGTAATGATGTTCAGTACTCAGCCCAAGAAGCAAATGGAGGTTAATTCTTTTGTTAGGTGAGTTTTTCTCTCTCCAGATATTTGGAGAGAAAATAAAAATGTTACTGATGTTACTGCAATAAAATGGGCACTGGGAGCATATGAGCACTGCTGGTGAGGATATAAGAACAGCAAACAGAACCAGCCGTTAAAAATTCATTAAACAGGTGTTATTCAATGAATGTTGTCAATTAGAGCTGCTTCATCCTGTATGGGTTGGAAGGTTAATTGGAATGAGAGAGAGAGGGACAGAGAGACTAACTGACTTGACAAGCGGCGATAACCGCGGTACACCGATACACGGTAAGCTGAGAAGGGAAAAAACATCACAATTAACCTCATCACAACATCAAATACCAACAAAATATCATGTTTAGTCCACATGTACAGTGCTGGTGAGAACTTTACACATCATCAACATTTTTTGGGGCTGCTTTTCAAATCATCTTTCAATTTATCTTATTTTAGGATAACAATATACAGCACTGTAACAAACAACTTCATTGGTCTACATTTTCTCTTTAATCTCATATCATCTTAATGATCAAACACAAGGTCAAAGGTAAAAGTACTTTTGTAGCAATGAGGAAGGTTCTGCAGTTGTCAAAAATATTGCTACTCCTAAAAGTATCTATACTCAAATGCTGAATCCAGATACGAAACAAATCTGGGATGGTATCAATAGTAAAGATTGGTATTCTTTGCATATTTAAGCAATTGTATTTCAATGGATTATATGCAAATTCGTTGATAATACCTTAGACTACCTTAAAATATTGTCAAATTGTGTTAAACATGTAAGGATTAAGCAATAATAAGCTGCGTATTGGACGGTTTTAATTCCTAACGCGTAGAATGTATGAAATACACAGGTTTGAATTGTTTAATTCTCTTATATGCCATGGTCTCACAGAGACATTTGATCACGAAAGTTTGATTTACTTAAATCAGGGGTGCTCAAGTCCATTCCTCAAGAGCTACTATCCTGCAACTTTTTGATGCAACCATTTTTAACACACCTGAATCAAATGAGTGGCTCGTTACCATGCCTCTGTTGGGCTAAATGAGGTTAGATTCAGGTGTGCTAGAGAAGAGATGCATCTAAAAGTTCCAGGATGGTAGCTCTTGAGGACTGGACTTGGGCACCCCTGACTTAAATCAATTATGTTTAAGATAGGGAACTATTTTTGCTGGCCTTGATTTATTTTATGCTAACCAAGAAAAATGATTATCAACAGATGTTATTAACATCGGCTAAAATATCCATATACAGTATGTCGTTTAACTATTCATATTTTATTATGGAAGCCAATTTATTCCATTTTTAATTCTTCTTTCTCGGCTTCAATCCTATTAAACATCCTTATGTTTCAGCATCATCTGTTTTTGTTACCTCTCCTCCTCTTCCCATTTAATACATTTTTTTTTTTTGACAAATAAAAAAAAATGAAATTCACCTCAAAATACATGCTACCACCATGCCTCGTATTTACCTTGTAAGTAAGCGGATCTGATAGGGCTGGTTAGTGTGTTGCTATGGCGATGAGATTTTGCTGAGGTTTTGACAGTGGTGTCCTTTGTCGCACAAACTTGCCCCCCCATCCTCGCTGCCTCGGCCGTATCTAGACCCACAGCTATTTAGTGATTATACCTCTTGCATTGTAGCGTGGAATAACATAGCGCAGACCACTCTTCAATATTGGGCATAAGGGTTATCCATTTCGCACTTATTTGTACACTTATATAACTAGCATCTATGTTTCTGTATTATAGGGAAAAAGGTGAGGCATTTATTTTGCTAAAAATATTTTTTATGCCTACAATGTGTCATTTTTAAATTCCTATTAAATTGAAAATTGTTTTGATTAAATATTTTAAAAAAGAATTCAGAAACTCCAAAGCTTATACTTAAAAGCTTGGCTGTGCAAGGAAATGTGAGTTCTACCATTTCTGATAAGAATAATGGTCGAACATTTAATCAAAATTATACCACATAATAATAAACATAAATTTGTTGATTATCAAACATAGTTTTTTTATATCAATTTGTTCATTATCAAAAGTGTGTGCTTTTTTCGCAAAGCAGATGTATATTTATATAAGTGGGGTGAATTGAGCTTGTATGTAAAATATTAAATCTGTACAGAATGGAGAAAATCCACAGCAAATTTCAACTTGTGCACCCAACTTAAAATCAAGAAGTCATTTGAACACAGTCTCCATGATCAGAGTATGTAAAGTTCCCAACAGCAGTACATTTGTCTCCCACCTACCTGGAGTCTGGAAGTTGATCCTCCGCAGCTCAACAGGATCTGTGGGATGGTGGGAGGACATGGCTTTGCTGCAGGGAAAACTGCCCTTCCTTCCTTCAGCCTCGGCTCTTTTCCTAGAAAAGCAAACAAAATGTGACTCAATATCATGTGGCTAAAACATCTGGCTTTAAATTAAGTTTTGAGAAAAATATGGATCTGTGCACCAATGCCTTAATGAATTATTTTCCCAGGGTCTCAATACACTGCACAGGAATATTGTTAGCTTGGGATTTCTCATTTCAGTTTATAACTCCTGCAGAACTGACCAGGGTTGTTTGAACAGGTTTTATATGAAGATTTAGAGGCAGTAAACATAATCCTAAAACCTTCAGCTATAATTTCATGAAGACATAAAATTTTATGACCGTAATTGAAATATTGACTAACTAATGTTGCATGATGTTTCCAGCTATGCTGCGGCTCCATCACAAGGCCAGAAATAAGACCCCAAAGCCAAATAGCCAATGAGTGGCCAGATAGACACACAGACAGACCATCGCTGGGCTCCAAATGAGGCTATCACATTGAACAAATTAAATCTCTAATTCCTTGAGGGTTTCTCTTTTCCCAGAGGCTTTATTTCCTGCAAATTGCCAGAATTAGTTTTTAATATGCAAAACTCTGTTTCACTGCAGTAGAAAGGGCTTTTTCCATGGGCAGCCCTTCCTGTTTTCTTTTCAAGGCAGTTTAAAATATATAGAGAGGATTTTTCTCAAACCCTCTCATCTGCCCGGCTAAAAATTTTTGGATTAGAAAAGCTAAAAAACGATTTGCCTACTACCTGTCCAACATTGTGGACATGCAGTATTGCAATATTAGAAAAACACTGTATCAGGTAACAGACATATTTTCTAGGAACTGCTAATAGCATGACAAGCTAACTGTTAGCCACTAATGACACTAAAGTTAGCATCTTCCCACAGTTGCAAAGTGGTAATTGGTTGACATGAGCTCATTACCTAATTTAGTTTATTTATTTATTTTTTTTGATTGGTTGGTTTGAGCTGTTAAAGAGAGGAATATTAACATCGGCGAGACAGGAAGTGATTCAAGAGTTTACATCTACAAATTCACTCTGAAAATCATTTCAAGTATTTCATTTTATTTTACTTGCACTAAGACAACATATATGAATCTTTTTATGTTATCAAAATTTATTTAAAGACAGTTTACAGCTTTACACACAGTGGATGAAGGTGTTGTCATGATCTTGGCGCTGATGGGTGGCTTAATTGCTTATTCCATTCACCTGCCTAACTCTGCCCGGTTGATTATTATGGCTCATTTGATCCAAATGCTTCTGCTCTATTTGGTAGATAACATAACTTCCATCCAGCTATCAGGGCCAGATTATCTTGTTCTCGTTATTGGGGGCCAGTGGAGAGAGCAGTTTTCAGTGTACCATAGCGTTTCTGATTTCCTGATCCCAACCTGGTCTGCCTCTCATCCACTCAGCGTGCCTGTTTCTGTCTGATCTCAGTGGAGAGAGGGTTTTTTAGCGTACTTTAGTGTTTCTGTGATCCTAATCCTGACCTGTTCTGCCTCTCAGCCACTGAGACCTGCCTTTTCCTGTCTAAGCGTTCTGCCTGAGCTGTCTCTGGACTTCTGTTCTGATCAGTATCCCTGACTGGGATTCAGACTTCTTAACCTCTGAGCCTTCCTGTTCTGATCTGTTGCCCTGTTGTGGCTTGGACTCCTGCTTGTCTTCTAGGAAGCCCTCCGGCTGGATCCTACCTCGTTCTCTAGGATGGACTATACTGTTGAACCAGGTCAGTGACTCACATGGAAGTCATCCTCCGTCAGATTATCATGATCGCTAACCCGTGTTTCTCCCCAACAGAGCTTCAGTGAAAACAGTGGTTTACAGTGTTTTCTGCTATACCTTTACAATGCACTGACTAAATTGCTATTCTTAAACAAAATTATTATTTCAATGAGTAAAATAACATCAGCATAGCCTGACACTACTTGAGTTTAATATTTGTGGCATTTCTTGTAGAGTTTTCTTTTAAAGGGGAATGCCCCTGTAGGCTATTGGAAATGGAAATAAGTAGCACTTGTTTACCTGTCAGGTTTGCTGGATTCAAAAAGAGGAGGTTGGAGGGCGTTGTGGGTGCAGATAAAAGGACAGACAAGAAGGAATATCATTAGTGTCCGATCAAAGAGCATTAGAGAAAGTAGCAATGCTGAACTCATCATTTTCTTTTTTTAACACACTAATCAGTTTCTCGCTGCAGTGTTACTTATTATGCAAAATATAACTTCCTATGGAGACAAAGAGCAATGGCACTTTTAAAAAAGAAAACTTCATTGCAATACACTGGATACCCTTCATGACAAACCACTCTGAAGCTGTAACATCTAATAAAATACTAGGAAACATGGCTTCAAGTGCAACTTCACACCAAATGAGACATTAAAAGTCAGAAATATCCAAGAGGAACCCTCCAGGGTTTACCAACATCAGATTGTTGCCATCAAGGTCAATAATTCTGTAATGCCACATCTGTCAAAGCAATTATTTATGTGCATTAACAAACCTCTAGCTAGAGGAGTGATGATTATCATCATTAACACTAAAGGCTCATAATGTTATCTTGCCCTATCTGTTATGTAAGCAAATGCTGTGATGTAATTTTGCAGTAACAGGGACAAACAATAAGACAATCTGAATGAAAACCTATGAGATAAACTAGTTTAGATTATTTTTCTTTTATTCTTTTAAGATGACGATTATGAATATACATCATGTTTTCTTCTGTCGCCAAAATTTTACCTTTTAAACAAAAGAATGGCGATGACAATGCAGACAATAAAGATGACAGCAAGGACGGGGCCTACAACCCACAGCAGACCCTCCTCCTCGTCAACCATCGGCTGGGGATCCACGTCCGATGCCGTCACCGGATCAGAATAGGGACTGGTTGAGAACATCGTCTGCAGAGATTTGTAAGTTTAGGCGTGACGGCACATTTTTTCTCTAAAAATGACTGCTGCTTGAGAGAGGGAGACTTGACCTACATTTTCTGAGAGGTCTAGGAGGGAAAGGACAAAGAAGACATACTCCTGTCCACCCTTCAGAGGACGGTTGCGGAAGTCGCCGTAGGTTCGACTGTCACCTAAAGTGAACTCTAAGGGGAGGGTCTTAAAGTGAGCTGTTATATACGCCCTCGGCTCTGATTGGCTGGCCTGTCTGCGGATTCGAAGGGAACGGCTGACACTGGTCCTGTTGATCTCTCTGAGGAGCTGAAATGGAGGAGAGCAGAAGATGATACGATAAATAATCAGAGAAAGAAGAAAGGAGAGTGGTGGAGAATAAAGAAGATGTTAAAAATACCAAACGGCTTGGATTGAAAAGAGCTGTTCAAGAATTGCATGCATTATATGGGTGTAATTGTCTTTTCAGTACCTTACTAAAGTATTCAGATTAAGCTTTTTCATATTTCTTTTAACTCTGTACATTATTCTTCATTGCAATTATCAATATGTTATCAGTTTCAATTGATTCCGATATTATTAAAAAACCTACATACATCCATCAGACAAATAAATAAAACCAATAAAAACACATATAACATTGGGGGTCGGTAGAAGTAAATAATTCAAATAACTCAATTCTGTTCTACGGCTCTGTCCTCAAAAACACACATATCAGCTTTCTTTATATGCTGCACTCCAAAAAAAAAAAAAAAAAAGCTCAGGTTTTTATTACTCTCTTTGCTGACGTATTGAAAAAAAATAATAATTTGATCTCTTTTTAAACTGGTGAATAATTTCTCGTTAAAACATCAACGCCATCATTGGGAAAACACAATTTTTCCCTCTATTCTAAAGATGATGGAAGATAATCAATAGTCCCCAAGTCTTTTCTAAAAAAAATGGCAGAACATTTGGGGTGTATTCCTATTCAGCTTCCTTAGTCAATACCGTAATTACATTTTGCTGCAACAACATCAGCTGGTGGTTTGGATATAAATCTTAGCAGCTCTGTTAGAATTAGTATGAGCCTCTATATTGCTTCCCTGATAAATCTCCTTGCCTTTTTATTTATTTTATATTTTTTGTCTTGATAGAGGGGTCTGCAACCTGCGGCTCTTTGGACTCTCTACAATAGCTCTTAATATGATAACGAGTCAAATAATGGTTTTGAATATAGTATACTAACAAATAGCATTCTTACAAGCTTAAACAGTTTTTTAAAAGAACACCTAAGTTGTTTAATTTCTTACTAGAGAATCACATTAAAGAACCAGGAATATGCTTTGAGATCTTTATTTCTTGTCATTAGCTTCCAACCCGTTTATTGTTTTAATAAAATCAATGCTTCTTCTTTATGAAAATGTCATGTTTTGTTCTTATATCAAAAATCAAAAACCAAATTAACTGCTGTTTAAAATGGGAACAGATTTAGTAACGTGGATATTTAAAAACTAAAAAAATTTATTTTATTTAAAAGTCTTGTAAAATTTGCTGCTTTTACTTGGCCGCCCTCGGAGTAAAATGGCTCTTTGCAGTAGAAAGGATGCAGGCCCCTTACATGGTAGGTTTGCAGCTCTGTTGAACTCAATTCTCCCTGCTTTTCAGAGAACTTTCTCCCTTAACCTGCCTGCTGTGTTCCTCATGATGCTGTTTTTTCACTAATGTTCTTAAACAAGCCTCTGAGTTTTTCACTGAACGACTGCACCTATACTGAGATATAATCAAACACATAAATGTATTTTATGATTTTTTAAAACTACATTTAAAGCATGTATCCTCTTTATTGCACTTTAAACCATTGTACCTGTTCATTCAGCTAATATCCCAAACAACGTGAACAAAAAGGTGGAAGAGTTCATGGAGTATGAATACTTTCAAAAGGCCCAGTAATTACGGTCTCCAAAAGTGCAGCTGGCATATTTTTTTTATCCTTAACAACAGTTCTGTAAAGAAAGGAAGTTCTGATAATTTAGCCAACATTAAAAAAACCATCAGTGAAGAAACAATAGGCTGCTGAAAGTGTTATTCCCCCGGCATATTTGTCTTCATCAACTGAGGTGCTGTCACATTAATCCGCTAGTACATTGGGCAGTGCAGCATAAAGAGGCTTTAGAACTAATCTAACACACATGAATGTGCTTTCAGAATAGTATAATGAGGTGATAAGGTCTTTAGAACTATCCGGAAGGGGAATTAGATGGGAAATGGTATGTGAAGTCATTGTTTGGATTGAACGAGGTACGGATAACCTTTTCTACTTTCACTCGGCTGTGCAGGCATTCACTTTACACTAAGCTTCCATGTTGTACAGATGTCCCTTTTATCTTATAATCATCACTGCTGTCACTAAACAGCTTCTTCCTCTTTCTTAAAAAAAGATATGCATCATAATAAACATTGAACCCCTCTCCTCTTATGTGTTGGTAGCCTTACCTCATCCAGATTCATCTGATCAGGATCTTCCCAGGGATTCAGAAACTTTCCTCCTCTCTGTTTCTTCAACGGCACCACCACCACATAGTAACCCCTGAAACACACCAGAATTTAATTGATTTGCAACCATTAAAGTGACAATCAAAGTATGCACTCAGCCTCCCTTACCCAACTTCAGCAACACATCAAATACACAGACAACTTACTTTAAAAATAGGAGTAAACAAATCGAAATTGATAGAGACACCAAGACATCAGAAAGTGGGTCACATATTAAACCTGACCGAACCCAATCAGGGATTATCTTGCAAGCAATAAAAACCTCTCAGTCTTCTTTTTTTATATCTGCAATTGCACCACAGCCAGAAGGTTATGGTTGGAAAAAGACTAACAGTTGGCTAAACACAGCATCAGTGAGGCGTTAAGCAGTAAATTCACATAAGGTACAGAGACATAAGAAGCTTTTTAGAATTTTACAATTAACTACCACATTGAGGAGGACCAGATGGCAGAAAGCTGACTTTATCAAAGCAAAGTTGCTGTTTCATCCACTTATAGAGGTCAAAAAGAATGTTGGATTTTAAAATGGTGGCGGTCTCTAACTATTAACGTTTGCTATAAAAAATAAGTGACAAATATGTATATTTTTTAAATAAATTGAAATGGGTAAAAAAAACTCTATGACTGGTACATTTATTTAATTATATAATGCTGGCTGAATGATCCATTTTCTACTTGATTGTAATTTTCTTTTTTCCAAATAGTAGCAGTGAGATATCAAGGGAGTAAAGTCAAAACACTTTTCAAGAGACCGACTACATGACCATTGCAAAGAGGGAAACTGTTAGCAGCCAAGTGAGTCATTCACTGCTTTGGATAGGCTTTCATTTGCTATCTATATTTGTTTTTATGGTTAGAAAACACAGACAAAAGCATCAGCCCTGAGCTCTAATTTGTGGGCGTTTTCAGACATGCTTCGCTGCCAAATGTTTGAAATCTTTCCTTATGGGGCAAAAGACCAAACAAAAACAACAGGAATGAGAAGAATCATGTCTCAGAACATATAGAACATTATAAAATTTACCTGACAAGAAAAAAATTCAAACAATTCCAAAACCACTAAAGTTTTTCTTTTTTTGTTGTTTTGCATTCCATGACTCATCACTACCTGACTTTTGCTGTCGTCTGCACAGTTGGCAGCTGCACGGTCACCATTCCATCTGCATTGGTCTTTCCCACAATAAGGGGTTTGCTTTTCAAGATGTCTGGTGCAGTTGTGGCAGTGACGTGGTGCTGCAGGCCACCAGCACTGTTGGCCCGGTTCGTCAGCAGAAAAGAGTACTGGGTGTCCGGATCCAAGCCAGTTATAAGCTTCTGAGTCTGTCTGCCATCTACTTCCACAGAGCGGCCTTTTCCATACAGGATCTGAGAACATAATTCACAACATGCATTATTTAATAGACTCAAAATTAGTTATTTCCAAACAGCTGCAGTATCTACACAGAATCTCCAAAACCTCAAGTCATTGTGGTAAGTTAGCTTTTGGCTGTTCAAAAGCACAATGCTTTAATTATGGATAGGGGCGTGGATGCTAATTTAAAAATAAGTAGAATTGTAACAAATCTCCTGCATTAAAAGGATCCACAAGGCATCCAGTGTAGTGCTTTACCATTCCTTTCATTTTTTTCTTGAATTTCTCATGTTATTTTCTATGGTTTACGTAACACACATTTAAAGAGTCCAATAATCAGAACACAAAATATTTAGTTAAACTATTGCTAATGCACTAACTCAGTGGTTCCCAAAGTGTGGGGCGCGCCCCCTAGGGGGGGCGCAATGCCATTGCAGGGGGGGCGCGGGAAGCGGTATGGATGAATGAAGAAAAAAAAAAAAAAAAAAACAGCGCTTGCTTGACTGAGCATAATGGACAGTTGTGACACTGCAACCCAGATTTGAGAAGATCTACAGCAAAAAGCAGGCTCACTACAGCCACTGAAAAGATGTGAGGATTAAAGTACAAAGAAAAAACTCTCAGGGAGCTGTTCAATTTTTTTTACTCCATTTTGCACAGAGGCTTTTTTAACGTATAGATTATAGCAAAGTTAAATATTGTTACAAATAAAAAAAAAAAAAGAAATATGTTTAAAATAACACAGACAACAAAGAATCCTCTTCTAATCTACATTATAGAACTATGAAAAAATACAGTTACACAAAAGTGTTCCACTGTAAAGATGGTGTAGTTGGTTTTGTTGCAACCTGAAGTGTGAAATAAACTTCAGTGGAGTTTGAAAACAAAATATGTGCATAGGTTTATTATATCTGGTTGAACGATGTGTGTGCCCAGTTTCTTCTTTTTTTTTTTTTTGGGGGGGGGGTCGGGGGGGGGGGTTTGATGGGGTTGGTTGGGGGGGCGATGGGGGGGCGTGGAAATTTTATTGTAATCCAAAGGGGGGCCCAGAAGAAAATCTTTGGGAACCACTGCACTAACTAATGCTGGAGGCACATTTACACCCCTTGATGATATATATATTTAAATTAATATGTATAAAATATCTTTTAGGGCCATATTTTTATAGCAGGCAACCTTTAAATTTAGATGACTACCTAGTTTATATAGCCAAATCGATGTCTTCATTGCTACAAACCCACAATAAATGGATAACATCATTGTGAATAGTAGGAATATGTGGGTTTGTATGAACCACAAACAATTTTTAGATGGTTGAATCTAGAGTACCTCAATGTTCAACATTCACTTCCCTTATTTTTATTTTTTTTATCTGCATGCAAGTAAATCTCCTAAATTTACCTAAACTAAAGCTTAAAGATGATATATAATATGGTTTATTTACATACCAAACCTATGATTAACTTCAGAAGAAGTGCTTGCTTTAATGATCAACATTTCTTAGTGGTTATTGTTCCCTAAAATAGGATTTACATCAGATGTCAGTGTGATGTTTCCATGTCTGGCACATGGGACACACAACTGAAGGAGGACATATTGTTTAATACAACGTAAGCAAAAAAAAAAAAATATATATATGGTATGGTTATGGTTGTAATATGATTGCTGATGTTGGGGAGACCAGAATTTATTAAAGCAATCGTTCTTATTTAGGCCCCTATCCTATTTCCCTTATGTGCGGAATTTTGCATTACTTTGTCTCATTGGTCCTCTCAATAGATGTCACTAAAAAAGATTTAATGCTTCTCCAGGTGAGATGCAGAGGGGATTGTAAATGCAATAAAAAACAAGCCATTAGGCAGCTATCTTTGTGTTAATGGCTATCTCATAATTGATACAATAAAAAAAATACATTTCATTATATATTTTTTAATTAATAGATGAATAATTTCATATTATCAGGCATTGCATACATAATCAGTTTGTGTGGCCTCATGTGCTATGTGATGGGGACTGTCCCTTTATATATATATATGTATATATATATATATATATATATATATATATATATATATATATATATATATATATATATATATATATATATATATATATATATATATATATATATATATACATATGACAAGGTTAAAAAAAACACAATTATATGAGGGAAGTTTCGTAACTTGCCTCCTTTCTCAGCTTTGTGTTCCATTTAATGTTTCTTATTGTCTCTAGCTTGGTATTCACATTTCTATTTATTTCTATTAGTTTTCTCATTTGTTTTTGAGTTTTGCCTTAGCCGTTTCCACCCCAGTAATTAGTTTCTCCTTTGTCTCATCTTAATACTCACTGTTGAGTATTAATATCCTCCTGATTCAGTCAATCATTGTGAGATCCTACAGTTCTCTTACCTTCCTTTTGCAAGATCCTCAGTGATTTATTTAGTTTCCAGTATTAACATTTTATTGTTAACTCTGGGTCCTCCTTTATTTATAACACAACACAGTGAAAATGTCTTACAGTAAATGGCAAGGAAGGGTTCTTGTCCCGGATCTCCCAAGAGAGCAGAACAGAGTTCTTCATGGCTGCTTTCACTCTGAAGTTGGTGGCAAAAACTGTAGCAAAGGACAGAGAAAAGCAGAAAAAAGAGAAAGTGTTTTCTAGAGTGTAATTTATTCCTGTAAAAAAAACATAATTGGTCTTACCTGTGTTTAATTATTTAGAAGACTCAGGCTAGCTATTTGATCTGAGCAACAAACAACATAACTGGACAGGAACTTTGCCCCAGACCCAAGACTCTTACCTTGATTTTGGAATAGGCTGTTGGGTCTAAGACTACATGGACAAGACAATGAAAAAGGACACTTAAAATGTAGTCACTAAATGTTGAGTGTCTGTGGCCGTGTGCTTGGGTGAATTTGCCAACAATTGAATGTGGTGTTTGGATCTGGCCCCTGGAAAAGAGTAATGATTTTGGGTTCTGAGGGAGTGAGCGTAGCCCTACCTTGGTCAAGCCGCTGCGTCCTGAACTGGACACTGGGGCTGTACGGCCCAGGACCGACAGCTGTGAATGCACCCACCCTGACATCATACACGGTATCGGCACTCAGACCCTCCAGTAAAACACTTGACCCTGGAGCGGGCACCACCACCTCCGTAGCGTTCCCCCGACTGTTTATGTCCTTGTACAGCACCGAGTACTTCGTAATTTTTCCGTTTTGCTCTATTAGTGGGACTGATTTCCATGTTAGCATGAGAGAGGTGGCAGAAGCCTCCTCTAGAATGATATTTTCTGGGTATCCAGTTGGGGCATCTTCTGGAGTGGTCACCTCCTTCATGGTCTCCTCTCCATAGCCCATTTTGTTTCTGGCAGAGAGTCTGAAAACATAGTTAGCTCCTTTATGAATATCCAGAGCAGTGTAACGTGTTTCTGTCGTGGGAAACTCCACCACAGTAAAGGGAAGGATGTCGACCCGGCCAAAGGTGAGTCGGTACCCTAGCAAAGGGGTTGGTGGGTTCGGAGGGGGGTACCACTGCAGAAGAGCAGTACCTAATTCAGTTGCACTGACCAGCAGTTTCGGTTTCTCAGGAACTACATAAAGGGAAGACAGGAAGGGCAGGAGGGAGAGGATGATGAAAAGATGATTAGAGGGTAATTACAAAGCACATTATTCATTATCTGAAGCAAAACTCTTCAACACACATAATGTGCCACTAAATGACTAATTTCTTTATGCCAAAGCTAGGTGATACATTATCAGGTATGACCAATTTGGGGAATTAATAGCCTCTAATGATAATTAGTGAAACTAAACATGACTGCGAATAAATGAGCCTTTTTTATCAGAGTCTGTTTGCGAAGACACACTTACAAGGCAGTGCGGTGCAGGCAGTAACAGCTTTGCTACGAGCACCGTCACCCTTTGCAGTGTAAGCTCCCACTGACACAGAGTAGGCTGTGTCTGCTTTTAGGTCTCCAAGCACGATCTCCTAAAAAACAACCAACGGTTCTGTCAGCTACAAGAGTAAAACAACTTTGGCAGTGCTAAAGGTGCTCTACTTTACTTTAAGCCTTAAGATCTAAGCGTTTAGAAGAAGACAAATAAAAAAAAAATATTATTTTTTTGTCCCCTTGCTACATATACAATATTTTTACTTTACTACATATACAATACTTTTACCCCTTGCTACATATACTACATATACAATAATTCTGCTGCTTGTATTTACTTTAGCAAATTTTATATTTGCATATTTTATTTATTAAAATTAAACTAAACTATATAATTTCATCCTTATACAGGATGTATTTTTCAAGGCAAGATAATATATACTAAAAATGTGTCAAAATAGTGAAAAGCTCTTATTAAATCACTCATAATACTTTGTTGTTCATGTTAATAAATTAAATGCCTGACAAGAGGTTTACTCACATATTCCCCTGATTTGCCATATTCCCACTGAACAATGAAGCAGCGTAGAGGGGAAGAAAATACACAGCTTAGAACAATCTTTCTGGGTCAGAATAAAACACAACAAACTGTATCTCTGACATTTAGAGAAATGTTTCGGCAATAATTTACACTACAGTATGTATTGTTGAGTCTAGAGCTGCAATTCATAATTACTACCTGAGTTAAATTATTTTCCTTTTTAAATTTCTCATAAACTACCTGTGACACGTTAATATTTAAGTAATTCGTTATTTTGGCCAGTTTTACCTGTGAGTCATCGATGAGGATGTCTTTGATGAGGGGTTGACCTTGTGGTTCGCCATAGTTTGTGTGAACATAGTGGACTTGGTAGCCACGGATCTGTCCGTGCTGAAGTTCTGGCGCTGGAGCTCGCCATTTCACCCTAATGGCCGAGGCATTCACTGTCTCTGCTTCCACCTCTTGTGGAGGACCACTTGGAACTACAAATGCATTTTGGAATAGAGGTCAAGGGTCACAGTTGATAGGCACTTAAAAGTAAAAGCTGTCAATTTACTCCTGTTAAAAATAAGGGGGCAGATAAAAAAAAAAAACACCCAAAAGTGGGAAAAAACCCTCACAACCCTTCAAAAAGTCTTAAAGTGCTTTGATGCCTGGTAAAAAGCCAAGATAGGTAAAAATGAGGGTGCTCGCAAAAAATCATGGAGGAAAAAAGCAGTGAAGTACAGGAGGCAAATGTAGAGAGAGGTAGGAATGGCAGAAAGCGAAGTATTTGTTGCTAGGGGGCAGATCAAACGTGGTAGTCATTCAAAGAGAAAACATAGTTATCAAAAAAAGTGCTGCCAAGAACTGCACTTCTACCCAGAAAGAAAAAAAGGACAGAAAAAATAGAAACCTCCAGTCGCCTTCTGTTAACTGACTGACTCCAGTAAAAGCACTCTTAAAAATGGTGGACTTTATAAAAAAAAGTGCTTTTATGACACAAAGAGAAATAAAAACAACACGAAGTGATAGTTAAAGAAAAAAAAAGGAATGCTCTAGAGAGCTAAATATACAAGCCATCAAACAAACAAAGTATACATGAATTACTATAATTTGAAAAAAACCCAAAACAAATTAAGGCGATTTTGCCAGCAAGTAATTCTCTGTTAGAAATAATAGTAGGGGCTAAGGGAAGTTGCTTTGTTTATGAAATTTATCATTAAAAAAGGAAATCTAAAGAATTGTTGGCTTCCAGGAGATGGGAAAAAGTACAGGTAGGATAAAAGATGCCAGTTAAGGAAAAAAGGGGCAGTTAGAAAGAGAATTTATGGAAGCGATTTCTGCTTTTTGGGTTATTGGGGCAAGTTATACAGTGAATTGAAAGCAAAGATTGCTAAAATTGGGAGATTTAAAAGTATTCTGAAATGCAATATTTACTAATGCTGCAGTTCACAGGAAAACAAAACACCATGACCGACTGTTGTTAGTTTAGGGTGATCATTATGAAGTATTAGTCCGTGATCATTGTTAGTTGGGCGGAGAATCATAAGGCGGGGATGGGATTATATTTGTATTTTCTGGGGAACATACCATCCTCCTCGGTGCGGATAAGCAGCTGTAAACTTTCTGGTCCTTCCCCAACCTCCGTGAGAGCCCGAACGGTTATGCCATACTCAGTCCATTTGTCAAGGTTTTCCAGGAGATACGGTGAACTTCCCGGAGGAATCCCTTCAACTCTTTGGGATGTTTTGTTGCCCTCCATCGTAGAGTACTGGATGGAGTATCCAGTTATGATGCCGTTCTGAAACTCCAGGGGTGGTGGAGCCCAACTTACCAGAATGCTGGTAGAACTGGGACTGGTGCACGTGATGTCCTGGGGAGGTGCTGAGGGAACTGGTAGGCCAGTATCGAGGAAGGTTGTGGTTGAGTAAATGTCATTGGATCGTGTGTGCAAGTTGTTGTGTGTCGAGTGAAGTCGGGTGTTTGCCATGAAAGAATGATGATGAAATTGAGCAGATGAAAAACAAGAGAACAAAAAAAAGACAAAGAAACATAAAATGAAAACAAAACACTGGAGAACTAAAGCTCTTGTTTGTGAAAAAAAATGACTGTGACTACAAAGCAAACATAACTGAACAAAGATATCCAATGAAGGGTGTCAGATCTGCAGAAATGTTTGATTAATGAAAACAAGTGGGTGACTTGAAAGAAATGTAACACAAAGACACTGACTAGAGGTTTCATACATAAAACAGAAAACTGCTACAACTTACTTGTTGTTATCAGCCTAGTGAAGGCTCAGTGATCCATGCTGGAATCCTCATGACTATCTGAGAATCTCTCCTCCCTTACCTTTAGTTGACTGATTCTAACAGACCTCAGATTGATACCCACCAAATAAATCTTTAATGCCAACTCTTAAAGTCTTATTTCAAGTGATTGTCTTGTAGGAGGTTATGTTTAGATGCCAATATTGCTTCACAGATTTAAGCATCAATCATGAAGTCAGTTAGAAATCTGGATTCCTCATGGCCCCATTTTGACAAGGCAACAAAGAACTCATGATTGTTTGGCTTTCTCTTAGAGGTAAACAGTCAAACAAAAGTATCAACACTCTTTGAACTCTTTTGAACACATTTTGTCACATTACAAATCCAAGCTTTAAAGTATATTATTGGCATTTCATGTAATAGGCCAACACAAGGTAGCGCATAATGATAAAGTGAAAGGGAAATTCTGCTATGTTTATTGAACCACCTGTTTCAAAACCCATAACTCATTGAATAATTTGCCTTATGGTGTTTCCATAGTACTTGTTTACATGTTAAAGAAGATCAGCAGTGTTGGAGCTGCATCATATGTAGAAAATAAGGAAGATTAATGCTGAAGCAATGGCATTGCAGACCATTGATTAAAGCATATTCATATAGGAAATACTGTTCCCCTGTGCTTTTGAGAAGAGTGCTTTAAAATTTTCACTCAAGTGCTGCTTCAAAGGCCAAAAAAGAAAAGAAAACACACTAGAGATAAGAGGAACACCTGCTTGGAAGCTGCTTAGTATCAGTTTAAATAAATTGAACATTTATAGATGAGGATTTCTGAAAAAAAATACAAAAGACATTTAGTGTCTTTTGTATTTTGGCTCGGAGCTCGTCTGCCTGGCTGTGTGTTTCCTGGACGGGGCCGCATTTTACAGCTGCTTTTTCTATCTCTGCTTCTGTCTCCTTGAACCCCAGTCAGCCTCGGCAGATGGCCGCTCACACTGAGCCTGGTTCTGCTGGAGATCTCTCCCTGTTAAAAGGGAGTTTTTTCCTCTCCACTGTCGCTACAAGCATGCTTAGTGTGAGGGATTGAAGAGAGTCAGTGAGTCAATGCAATCAGCTGGTTTTCCTTAGGCCCCGTCCACACGAAGTCAAAACGAACACGAAACGCTGATATTTTCCAAAACGTTTGCCGTAAAGACGGAGACGTAAAATAAATGTGAGCGTCCACACGAATGCATGAAAACGCTGCAAAATGTATGCCAGGCCTGTAAGTGGCGCTGTGGTGCCAAAGCAAAAATAAGCGACGAAATGTAGGGCATGCGCACTAATATTTATACATGGTTGCCCTGCGGGTCTATTTTCGTGGTTAAGTCAAATTCAGGTGCTGAACTATGTGGTCGATATTGCTCTGTTCTTCCTGGAGATATTCCAGAAGAAGAAGATTCTGTTGTAAGCCCGACCAGCCCGACAGCAGGGTGAGTAGCATTAGCAGCAACGGCGCCATTGTTGTTGTGATGTGTCGCGCTTGCGTGTTTAGAGGCGACGCTATGACGCATGCGTGTAAAAAAAAAAAATGCGGTTAGGGTGTAAAGATGGAAACGCGAAAACGGCGTTTCAGAATCTTCCCACTCTGAAGGGTGAATAAAAAAATGATCGTTTACAGACCCCCGAAACGCCGGCTTCGTGTGGATGAGAGGCTGGTTTGGTGAAAAATTTGTGCGTTTAGGCCAGGGTTCGTCTTCGTGTGGACGGGGCCTTAGATAGAAAACTTTGATTCAATTTGACTGTATGATCTGGTTGAACTGTAAAGTCCCTTGAGATGACATGTGTTGTGAATTGGCGCTATAGACATAAACTGAATTAAATTGAATTGATAGTGGTGTGTTTTTTATTGGAAAATGCATATAGCCAGCTTTGTGTTTAAGTTATTAGATAATTGTCTACTTAAGTCAAAGTTTTCACACTTCTAATCAAGAGTGGGCTAGTAAAAGTACAGGAATAAATATAATTGGAACTGAGTTTAAAGGTTTTTGACCAAGAAAAAAAGGCCAAAGGTTCAGTTTATGAATGTGCAAAATACATAAAGAGATACCACAAAGACTTGCAGCTGAAAATGCAGTGAAACATGTAAACTCCCTCAGGGAACATAAAATCTCTCTAAAATACAGTGGAGTTTTTGGATTTAATGTGACAGAAAAAGTCCAAACAGTTTTAATACTTTTTTTAAGGCTGTGTTGAGTTTTTTTAAAGGACTCTTTTGCATTGTCAAAACTAAAATAGGTTTTCCTCTTCCTCTCAAATCCAATCTCTCAAACATAGCCACAAGCTTTCACATCCTGCAGCAGCTGCAGATGGACCTACGTGTCTGTGGAGTGTCAATGGACACTTCATTGGTGTACGCTCCGATCCCATTTTTGCTCTTAGCGGCCAGCTGGAAGGTGTAGGTGGAGAAGGGTTTGAGGTTCTTCAGCAGGTAGGAGGTGGATGGTTCAAAGCTCACTTTCCTCTGAAGAGGCAAATACACATAAGAGGAAACTCTTAACATACAGGTCAGGTCATCTTCCTTCTGCTCTGTATTCCATCCACTCAAACAGCCACTGTTTTGTTTGCCATCATCCATCAGACCACTGAGTAAACATCTTTTCTGCAAGCAATCCGTCCTTTTTCTCCGTTCCTACCTCCTCTGTGTCGTCGGCCCTTCGATAGACCAGTTCGTATCCTGTGATTTGGCTGTCTGGGCCACCCTGGGTTGAGGGGGCCACCCAGGACAACAGGATACTGGTCTCAGACTTGGCCTCTCCCTTGAAATCTAATGGCTGGGATGGAACTAAAAAAAAAAAATAGCAACAATAAATAATGGAAAAATGTGACTACTCTGTAATGTCTTTTCTTGGATTTTAAAGGCTCTAATTTTCAAAGTATTTCTAACTCTAAATCTTTTTATTATTTATCAAAATTTACCTCCAGTCTTGGCTATAATCTGCAGATCCTGGGACAAAGGTCCGTCTCCCACAGAGGTAAAAGCCAGCACCCGGATGTAATAAGTCTTGTTGGGAGTCAGATCCTGGATCGTGATGAAATTGGTGCCTCGGACCATCTGCTTCTCCCACTGCATATATAAATGTAACATATGCATGCTTATTTTTCACGCAGCTCATCAAGTACAAGAAACCCAAAATGGAAGGAAACCAGGCAGACAGACCCACACACCTGGTTGACTGGCAGCGTGTTGTCTGAGGTGTAGTAAACCCTGTAACCAACCACTTGACCGTTTGGTTCCTCTGGCTCGTCCCAATGAATCATTGCTGTTGTAGCGCTCAGCATCCGACCTATGACCTGCAGGAAGACAGCTTCATCTGAGCAACTGATTTTATTTAATATTTTGGTGCAACGAACCAAAGCAAACAGTTTGCACATCCTATTTCTGAATGCTCTGAAAGGGGCCACGATGAAAGAGACCTATATTATCCTTAAACCTCCTTAAAATCATCAAAGTGGTTTATTCTAAGGGTCTTTAACATGTTTGCATTTCAAATATTATCATAGAAACCAAATATTTCTGAGGACAAAACCTGTAAATGTTTTCCAGGTAGAGTAAATGTAAGCAGAAAGGCAGTTTGAAAATCACTTAAAAACAGGGTTTACTTTGAGTGCGAAAACATCTTAACTCCCCCGTAACTCCCTTTGAAAACAAAATAAACTCAATTGTAACTACCCAATCAAAGTGATGTGATTGTTTAAAAGTTTCTGAAACATTGTTAGACCGGAGGGAGTATGGATTCAGAGCTATTAAAGGCTCTAAGGGACTGCGGGGCCTTTTCCACTGGACTGGTGATTGAACTATCTTGGCAATGGAGCTAACAAAGATCTGGATTCTTGTGTTTTGATCGTTGAAAGCTCCTGCATCACCTTTTTGTTGGGGCAAGCGAGAGCCTCCGTAGCACCAAGTACATTAGGGCTGGGAGGGGTGGAGTTTACTACAACGTGCACATGAGGAGAACCACTCTGCAAGTGCATGCAACGACACTGCCAGATGCAGAATTGTTATTATCAAGTGACAATTTTTGATGCTGTATAATTGTAAATGTTTGTTCAGTAAGGATTAGCATCTGTGCTGCTACAACTTCGTCCATCTTCGTTGCGTTGTTTGTTTTGCGATCATCTTCTTCGTCTTCTCCTTTTATTTCCGGCATACTTCCATCTCAAATCATTTTCTGATGCACACGTTGATGCAGTGACGTGACTGGTTCCTTGTATCTAAAACTAACCCGCTTCCTGCAAAGCATTGCTTTAAGCTCCGGCTTAAGCTCAAAGTCAATCCATCTCCTTTGCAGTCGAAAAGGCCCGTGAAAGGGCTGTGGAAACTTTATTTTCAGTGTTGTAGTTTTATTCTACCTTTTATTTTTTTCATTTTTACACAATAAAAACTTTCAAATCATCAAACTGCTTTCAGTGTTAGAAAAGTTATAATATAGCTTTGATTAATCCCATTTTTTGATTAGCTGAATTCTGTTTTAATATCCAAACTGAGGCCTGGTAATGCCAGATCTAATAATCACTTACTGTATTCAGAACCAGTATGAGAATGTTTAATAGGCTAAAAGATCTTAAGAACGACAGAAACACTGCTGTGATCTAAAAAAAATAAATACCAGATAAAAAAAAAAAGGTTATACCCATCAGTCAGTCTACATAGAGTTACAAGGCTATTTCTAATGTTTCTGGACTTCAGTGCAACAAAGTGAAAACCATTATTCACAAATCCCAGAGTAGCCAGCCTGTCAACATAACTCCGGGAACAGATTCAAGACGTAAACAGGAGGGGCAAAAGAACCCAGACCAACTTCCAAGGCACTGCTGGCATCACTTGTATGAGTTAAAGATAGAGGTTATGGTTTATCTCTAAGAAAGAGACAGGACAGAAATGCCATTCATTAGGGCGTCCCAAGGTGAAGATCCCTGCTGAGCAATAAGAACAAAAAAAGACATGTCTCATATTTGTCAAAAAACAAAACAAAGTTGATTCTCAAAACGTCTGCTTCGATTCTTTGGGATCTTGTCCTTTCGGTAGAAATTTTTCTTGGGAGTATATAAATAAATAAAATTAACTTTATTGATCTCAGAATGGAGAAATTAACTCTCGGCATTTAACCCATCCACTTTGTGGGGCAAAGCCTCAGGGTTTCAAGCCCTTTGCCCTAACCACTAGGCCACCACTACCCCCACAGCCTTACGTCTGTGCTAAAACTCAATTCATGTCAAACAACTCAAACAAACAATAAAACATGGTGGTAGAAGTGTGACAGTCTGAGACTGCTTTATGCCATCTCTATGCCATATATTTGCTTTGCCCAGCCACTGAACCAGGTTAATCCCATCAGCCCAGTTAATTTAACTGTGTTTACTCCACATCTCCCACCTCTGCTGCTTCCAGACCAGGATAGGTTACTTTCTTCTACAAAATCCTGAGAATACCTGGCCATTATTTTAAGCTGGGGTTACCTGGGTAACGCAGAAACACATCGATCTGCTGCACACCAGGATGTGTTTGTGTAGCTCAAAGTTAAATAAATGTATTTATCTAATGTAAAACTCATTGCAGATGAACAAAAATGCATAAAACAGAAATTATTCTCTTTTAAGAAACATTAAAGGTATAGAGGAGAATGTTCTTTTTCCAAGTGGATCACCTAAATAAGTGGTCCTCCTAATTGTTAATCATTCTGGTGATATGTAAGGCCGTCCTACGTGCTCGTCCCAATTTTCACTTACCGGAGGTGAGTCTGACATAGTGGAAAAATTGCAAATCTTCTTTTGAAAAGTAAGCTTGTATAAACAATGCAAACAGCAACTTTTAAACAGAGCATGCACGAGGAGAAATGGGCTTGTGTATGCTCTAGCACACGTTTAATAGCGGGTGCAGGGTTGTGCACCTGCTTCCGAGAGGGCTTTTTTTTTTTTAGAGTGGAGGGGGCGTGTCTCTTCAAAATTTCACAAAAAACTTTCACTATGCCCTAATATGCCAAAAGAGACATCATTGCATGTTAGCTATTATGCAGTTACCGCCTTTGCTTTAAAAATGAAGGGTATCCCTTTAAGGTTTCCTCCTACCTGTCGAGGAGGCGATGAGGGGGCCTGCTCCGCTGTGCGAGCCTCCACTGCCTCACTGGACGGCCCCTGGCCGATGGTGTTGACAGCTGCCACCCGGAAGTCGTAGTGGGAGTATGGACTGAGGCCTCCAACACTGTAGCGTGTTGTGGCAATGCCATCTATCTCTTTGTAAGGATCTTCTGAACCTTTGGCGCGATGCTGGAGAAGGTAGAAGACATTGAAAGGAGAAAGAGGAGTTAAGCAATTAATCTGCCCATGTTTAATAATGTGTAGAAATTATATTGTTTGATTACTAATTGAATTTACTCTCAGTCAACATATCTTTAAGTGAGATGTGAAATGCCAAGTGTGGCTGACTGTCATACTTTTTGTAAACAGTCTTCAGTTGGAGCTATTTCTTATTCCTACATTTAATTTCACTGCTGCTTCTGGGAAGAGAGCAGCCCCATGACAGCGGATCCCATTTCAGTAAATTGAGAATTTAAAAGTTTATCACCAGCTAGAGGCTCTTTTGTTTTATAGCCCTGCTTAATGATCTGTTAATAACGGTTTATGTTCATATAAAAACCAATTGGTTTAGACATCTGAAGTTCTGGGACTCTGGAATGTGTGCAAAGGCTGTTTTGTGGAAGTGCTTCATCGTAAATTACTGACACTTCTGTGACGGATGCATTAAGACATCACTTTGTTTATGCAGCAGTAGCAAAATTCTTCAGATAAAAATGAAAACAAAAAAAACTTTCATTTTAATCTCATGGGTTACTGAGAAAATGTTTCTATTTAAATTTCACTTTTTGCTTGAGTATTTGCTGCACACCTGTATGACATAGTATGAGACTGGTTCTGGGTTTCCCGAATCCCAGGTGAGAGTAATACTCGTTGCAGTTCTCTCTGTCACCACAGGGACACCAGGAGCCTTCGGCAGGGCTGAAAAGATTGCAAGACAATAGAATCTTATCCATAAGCCTTCCATTCAAAACTTGCAGAAAACATTTAAATGCAAACAGTCAATACTGAGAAACATGCAGCATCACCATAGTTACATGACTGTAATCTTTGCAAAGTAATTAAAAAACATAAAAGAGCACTGTGAAAAAAAAAAATAATCTGACCACTGGGCTAAAGGCATGGTTCAGAAGCTTATCTCATGCTGTATAAATCATTTTGAAAAACGCACATTGTTTAATTGCCTCCAAATTAGAAACTGCAAATCCTGCAATATGCTCTACATTGTTAATTATTTAGATAATCTACTTTCTTGCAGAGCTCTAACGTGGTCGCTAAAATAAAATTCTTTATTTCCTTGTTATTACTTTACAGCCCCACAGAAGCACTTAAAATGTGCAGATAAAAGGTTTTGCACTTTCAAACAATTAAAGCTTTGTAAACAGAATCAGAGTTTCATAATTACTTCTCGCTCCTGCCTTATGTGCAGAACTCACCTTTTACAATAATTTGTGCCATAGCCTCAATCACCCCAAGCGTGGACATGGCCACACAGGTGTAGTTGTTGGACTGGCGTACGTCAGTGAGCTCCAGGACGTTGCGACCAATGGGCATGTCGTCCTCGGGCGTCAGGTCTTCTGCTCCAAGCATCCACTTCACGTAGGGCATGGGAGAGCCAACTGCCACGCAGGTGATGTTGACGTTCCCCCCTGGCATGATTTCACTGTCAGCCGGGGGAATAGAGAAGCGAGGGGGGACGCGACGCACTGAAGCGCATAGCGACGAAGGCAAAAGGAGGGAAATGATTAGAATTTAAGAACTTCATGGTCTAAATGAAGTTTTTACAGGCTTTAGATTAAACTGCAAGCAGACAGATAGGATATTATCAGTTGGGCTCATGTAATATAAAAAATGTTTTATTAATGCCACCAAAACTGCACACTGTTAAATGTTTTATGAACTGCAACAAAAAAGTATTACAAAAAGTCACAGCAAATACACATGCACACAGATGAAAAAAAGAAACTTCTTATAGTTCTTAAAAATAACACACTTGAACCTCCAGTAGAGCCTTTAAAAACAGTCAGAACACACATTCGCTAATGGATGTTTTGTGAAAGTAAAGAAAGATTTGGGGGAGCCACAATAAAGCCACGCATTCATTAGTGTACCAACCTTCTCGCAGCTCTGCAGAGGGAAGCAGGACAAAGCACAGCAGGGGAGGTAGGAAAGAAGGGAAAACAGGAAATATCAGACCAGACGGCAAGAGAAAACAAGTTAAGTATAGAAGACAAGAGAACAAGGAAGAAAGAAAAAAAGAGTTCATAGACAGAGCCATATATTGGATGGTTGATGTTGGTGAAAAGCCTTCCAGTTTAAGGCAGCCTCCTCTGCCAGCTGTCTCCACAGACCGCCTGTCAAACACTCGCTGAGCACTGCTGCAAGATTTTACCGGCCTTGCAAGCACTGTTAGGCACACATCACTGACTCTGTGCTGTTTCTCTGCTCTTTGTTTTATACGTACAATCTGACATAGCTTCATGTGTGCACAGCAAATGTCTGCATGTGCTTTTATGGTGTGCCCAGGAGCAACGCTAGGTTTGAGAATGCATGCTGCACTGTGTCAGCACCCACTCTATTGTTGTTGTTTTTATTTCCTCTAGCCAAGGTGGATGGACAAAAGAGTCGAAAGCCCCAAGAATTAAATTGTCTCCAAGATTCAAACATTTGGCGGGTGCAAGTGTGAGCATGTCGAGGGAGCAGGGAGGCTGACAGCGCCTGAGGAAGTGAGACGGCTGTCAGATTTGGAGAGGACACACAAGTCCTCGGTGGACAATGATTCAGATTTTCTTTAGAGGTCTAAAGGCTAAGAAGAAGGGGCAAAGGAGTTTAATGGCAAGAGGAGAAAAACAAGCCTCGCTACTGCTTTGCACGTACTCCTGTCTACAAGTAAAACCAATTTAAATTCTGCAGATAACAGCATCAGGGCATATTCATACGCAGCGCTTAGCTAAAGTATTAATACCTGTTGAGCCTTTTTTTGGTATTTTTGGCTGAAACTCAGTAGGAGCAAGTAGAAATGCTTTGTGATCTTTTTGCACTTTGTGTAGTCTTGCCTGGAAAGAAACTGAGGCCTGAAACTCCATGCACCACTTTGCATACAAAGGTTGTTATCTATCAAAATCAAATTTGGCATAGAAATGTGTTCCCTCACAACTGTGACCCATAAGTACGTAAAATTTTGTTTGACAGCGGAAAACACGAGGATGAGAATTTGAAACTCTCAGATGAGATAGATTGATGTCATCAAAAATGTCCAATATTGCAGCGTAGTTCGTGCTCAAACTGTTAAACCATAACGATACAGGAGGACAGATCAAATAAATAAAAAAAGGCCTACTGTATTAACAACTCAAATCCCTTATCAAAGCATCGGCGGTATTTATATTTGTAAATCCCGATGAGCAACAGGGTAAGCCGTATCTAAGTTCAACACATAAATGTAACAAGGTGTGAGGTATTCACATTGATTGATGCAAACATCCTATTACCGCTGTGACACTATGTGATGGATGCTGCTCTGCTGGGAACATCTAAGGTGAGAGAACAGGAATGGAATGTGATTTGTCCTGTGTTATCAGCTGATCAGACTACCTAGAGCATTGCAGTCCAGTATTGGAGAGGCCAACTTGCTGGACCCACAACATCCCTCTTCATCATGAGGTCAATACTACTCCAAAGTAGAAGGGTAGCATGGTACTAAAGAATTAAAGTGAAAAATGGCGTTCCATGTTATTTATTTTTAAAAATCTAGTTAGAAACAGATTATTTGATATGTGTGAAGAAGCTTTAATTTATCAGACATAAAGGTACAGATTTAGTCTTTTATTATTAATTATTTTATTGATTAATACCAGCTATTGATGAATCAATTAATAGTTGCAATTAGTCCATTAACAGCTGTTATTAATTAAGAGCTTTTTTATATAGAACCATGCCTTTGGCTATAGGCCCCCTCTTAGAATTGATCTAATTTAATCTTTGATAAATGGCTGTTTGTTTGAGTTAGCTTTCCAGCTTTGGGGCAAACCTTGGCCTAACTCTTAAACCAGGTTTTTCCTCAGGATCAATGTACAGCAAAATCAGGGGCAGGCAGTACTTATGGTACCTAGGCCTCATTTCTGAAATCTTATTGGTTGAAGAAAACCTTGCTCACTAATATTGTTAAGGTTAGATCAGCAAGCACTGCTGATTCCAAAAGCCTTGGGCAGATTTCCTTTATGTTGCAACACACAGCGGTAAGTGTTGTTTTTGTGCGGGAGATGTAGGAATGAGGACAGTCAGAAGGGCCTTGCCGGGGCATTACAAACATGGCAACTCTGGAGGACTCAACTATCGATATCGCAATTTTGGCTAAAATAGGAACAATTTCTTGCCTAAAGAAGGAGCAAAGAGAAGCACTTTGTGCATTTGTAGATGGGAAAGATGTCTGTGCTTTTCTTACAATAGAATTTGGAAAAAGTTTGTTTTATCAGCTTACGAAACGTCATGATTCGCTGCTACGATTGGCTGAAAGCGTATTACGGAAGGCGGGTAATACCTGGCATGTCACCCAATCAGCTCAAAGTATTGTACTAAACGTCCCTCCTTTTCACGGACAGACTGAACGGCAGCCATCCCAGATTGATAACATAGAACTCAACCCAGTTCTACACATATCAATCTGGCTACTGCCAAGTTACCTTTTTCCTACGTTTTATAAAATATTCGTGGTGAAATAAAGAGGGCAAAGGCTTTGTCTTACCTCTGACATACAGGTTAGCAGGGGTGGAATAGCGTGTCCCATCACTGTTGGTGGCAACACACTCATACTTCCCCTGGTCCCCTTCCTCACTCATCTCTATCTGTAGGGCACCTGGATGGAACAAGCATCAGATAGAGAGGGTAGAAGGCAGAGAGACGGGAAGAAGTCACAAACAGAGGAGAAAAAAGCAGTTAAACAGCAATGAAAGACATGGACATCACAAAAAAAAAAAAAAAATGAATTTCAAAATTATGTTTTATTTTTTTTTTAACCTCCGAGAAAAAGAAATATTTGGGATGATTTCCGCAAAACACACTGGCCTTTTCAGGTGGTGCTAAGAAGGGAGTGATATCTGTCATTCTGATGTTTTTATTACTTTCAGCAAAGAATCTCCTTTAAAAACAAGCATCACCTTGCTGATAAACAAATGAGAACAAGCCAAACAAAAGGTGACACAAAAAGCCTACAAAAATACAAAATGTTGTCTTCATGCAACACAGAAACACATAAACAGAGTTGCATTATAGGATTTGAAAAAAAAGTCATCAATATATTATTGTAAAAAGCTGAAAATTGAAATTCGGTTATATTGCGGAGCAAGACAGTTTTCAAGGATAACATCTGCAAAGACATTGCTTTGGCAATCAGAAATCCCAAAACGGATCCACCAGAGGGATCAGGAGTGTGATTGATGTCAGTTTAAAAAACACACCCAGTAAGTAAGGAGGCAAAGACATTACTCGAGCTCCATCAAGGCCAACAGATTTCAAAAGAAAAAAAAAAAAAAAAAACGACATACGCAAAGCCTTGGGAAGGGACCGATGCTTTCTCGCTCCCTGAAAATAGAAAAACCGTCAAAAAAAGTCAACCAGAGGTTCTTTTTAAAGATGGTGTGGAGAGGCAAAAAAAAAGCGCCCAGAAAAAACTTTATCAAAAAGTGGTCGTTTGGGGCTTTTTGTTTTCGTAATGGAGGAGAAGATAGGAGGTGATGAAAAAAAGCCATGAAGACGTGTGTGTGTGTGTTTGAGTGTGCGTTTATGTGGGATTGTGAGCAGACTAATGTGGGTCTGAGTTCGCCATCTGGACTCTTCAGGCAAAGTGAATAACAGCTGGGAGGGAAAACAAAACTGGGACGTTTTATTGGGCAAAATAGAGACAAGGTAGAAGGACATGTCGGGTCAACTTTGGGTCAATCCTTTTGAAAAAAAACCCCAAGAAAATTGAGAAAAATCAAACGTACATACACTATATTGCCAAAAGTATTTGCTCACCCATCCAAATTATTGGAATCAGGTGTTCCAATCACTTCCATGGCCACAGGTGTATAAATTCAAGCACCTAGGCATGCAGACTGTTTTTACAAACATTTGTGAAAGAATGGGTCGCTCTCAGGAGCTCAGTGAATTCCAGCGTGGAACTGTGATAGGATGCCACCTGTGCAACAAATCCAGTCGTGAAATTTCCTCGCTCCTAAATATTCCACAGTCAACTGTCAGCTGTATTATAAGAAAATGGAAGTGTTTGGGAACGACAGCAACTCAGCCACGAAGTGGTAGGCCACGTAAACTGACGGAGCGGGGTCAGCGGATGCTGACGCGCATAGTGCGAAGAGGTCGCCAACTTTCTGCAGAGTCAATCACTACAGACCTCCAAACTTCATGTGGCCTTCAGATTAGCTCAAGAACAGTGCGCAGAGAGCTTCATGGAATGGGTTTCCATGGTCGAGCAGCTGCATCCAAGCCATACATCACCAAGTGCAATGCAAAGCGTCGGATGCGGTGGTGTAAAGCACGCCGCCACTGGACTCTAGAGCAGTGGAGACGCGTTCTCTGGAGTGACGAATCGCGCTTCTCCATCTGGCAATCTGATGGACGGGTCTGGGTTTGGCGGTTGCCAGGAGAACGGTACTTGTCTGACTGCATTGTGCCAAGTGTAAAGTTTGTTGGAGGGGGGATTATGGTGTGGGGTTGTTTTTCAGGAGCTGGGCTTGGCCCCTTAGTTCCAGTGAAAGGAACTCTGAATGCTTCAGCATACCAAGACATTTTGGACAATTCCATGCTCCCAACTTTGTGGGAACAGTTTGGAGCTGGCCCCTTCCTCTTCCAACATGACTGTGCACCAGTGCACAAAGCAAGGTCCATAAAGACATGGATGACAGAGTCTGGTGTGGATGAACTTGACTGGCCTGCACAGAGTCCTGACCTCAACCCGATAGAACACCTTTGGGATGAATTAGAGCGGAGACTGAGAGCCAGGCCTTCTCGTCCAACATCAGTGTGCGACCTCACAAATGCGCTTCTGGAAGAATGGTCAAAAATTCCCATAAACACACTCCTAAACCTTGTGGACAGCCTTCCCAGAAGAGTTGAAGCTGTTCTAGCTGCAAAGGGTGGACCGACGTCATATTGAACCCTATGGATTAGGAACGGGATGTCACTTAAGCTCATATGTGAGTCAAGGCAGGTGAGCAAATACTTTTGGCAATATAGTGTAGATGGAAGGACCCCATCTACAAACTCACACTAAGCAACGAGAAACAGATCCACCTTCCAAACACTCCATGCTGTATGGGAAACGCATTAGATAAAGGAGATTTAAAGTTTTAACCACTTTCCATCCATGTTTAAAGTACTGATGTCCAGGAAAAGAAAGAATGTAAGGTTGCTTCAAACCCCGCCTTCCTGCTTTGTGTCACTGATCAAAAGTCGAGTAGTTTTGGGCTCAGACCTACATTTTTAGAGGCACATAACAAAGTCGGCCTTCTATCACCTAATGAATATCTCCAGGATGAAAGGACTAAGGTCTCAGCAGGATCCTGAAAACTATTTCATGTGTTTATTATTAGCACAATGGAATATTGCAACAGTTTGCAGCAGTTAATCAAAAATGCTGCTGCCCACGTCCTCATTAGAATTAAAAAAGTAGAACAGATCATCCAAGCTCTAAAGAAATAATTCTGTTAGTCTATAAATCGCTGAATGGCTTAGCATCAAAATACAATACTCAGACCAATCAGGTCTTGTTGTTCAAGGCTACTCTACACACCCAGAACCCAAACACGAAGAAGCAGCTTTTAGGCCTTATGCTTCACTTATCTGAACAAGCACTCAAAGTGATAAAATCCTAAATATATTTGAACCAAAGGGCACGTGGCCTTCTCTATGATTAAACTGTTAACTAAAACAAGTTTTGCAGTCAAACAGCTATGGACTTTTCCCTGTATACTTTAAACGTTAAGTGAATGTCAGCATTTTAAATCGCTTTGTTACTAAAATGTTCTATACAAATAAACTCACTTTACTCAAAGATTATCTTAGTTAAAATCAGCTCTTGTAAAAAAAAAAAAAAAGCTGCATAGAAAGCAGCTGAAACTGTTGCTGACAATTGCATGATGGGAAATGCGAAATGCGAAATGCTAAAATCATTAAGTAACACATCAATCTATGATGAGTTCTCAGTGTAGAACAAGTGTCCTTGGAACTGTCAAAATATGTGAACGAGCAGAACTTTCAAGCTCCATCAAAACCTACAGTAAAAGCGCAACCATGAGTTTACCTCTAAAGTTAACTGCTTTTTTATGAAAACATCCTCCATTTCTAACGTAATGTATAGCGTCCGATATACATATGCTTAGAAACAAATTCTGAAAATCTGTCACTTTTTCGGCAACCCAAAGGTGCGGCAGGGTTGCGTAGTAAACGCTGTGCAGGTGACGTACAGAATGGATTCAAAATGATGGATACAAAGAGAAACATAATGAAAGAGATGAATGTCTCTGTTACAGAGTGAACGCTGAGGCTGAGGTGGGACAATATGAGAAGAGGATGACAGATGAGAAAAGTGTAGGTGACAGTTAAAGCATTAATGATGTTATTATTGCTCAACTCCAATTTCTCCTCTTGCAGATCTGAAGCGGTTTGGTGAGTTCTTTTTTCTTTTTTTTCCCCGAATGGGTCAAAGTATATGAAGCCCACATGCATGAACCCACCAAGCACTGCTATTCAGACCTGCAAGACAAGTAGGAAGCAGGCGTTGCAAAGGAATTAGGCCACTGTGTCATGTTGGTCCTTCCAGCAGTCTTACCTCGTATGGGCGTGCCACCTGAGTGGGCAATGAATGCACGAGATTAGAGAGGGAGAAGAAGAAGAAAATGTTAGTACCACAAAAAGGGAGAAAGGGACAAGGGAGGAGGGGACTTTGGGGGTGGGGGTGGGCAACTTGTTAAAGGAGAAAAATCAAATTAGAGAGGAAGATTTAAAATACTGGTCCTTAGACAGTGAGAGAAAGTGGAGGCATAAAAGAATAAGACAGAATAAATAAAGACAGAATAAGCCTGAGAAGAGAAAAGCAGATTTCAGATAGAGTGAGAGACAGTGGCAGTGCTACAAGGGGATTGGTTATTGACTGACTTCATTGATTTGCAGCAGAGCAAATGTGGCTTTAGGCATAGGAAGGATTCTCTACAAAGCTGGCTCTGAGATTTAAACTGCTCTTGTCAAATATACTTGTTAAAATGATGTTCGTAACTAAAAGCCACAGAATATGTAAATATATACAGCCTATGCATTTAACAGAAACCATATTTAAAAAATCCACTTTCCAATAATGGAGTCTTCCAACATTTTCTTTTTATTTGTTGTAGATTCAAACGATCACCATGATAAAAAAAATCCTTCTATTTGAACTTTAAATTATTTATGTAAAAATGCATTACTGACGATGTATTTGTCTCATAGTTTTCCACACAATTAATAGAAAAAGCTTTGCTAACCTAACTGATTGAATTAAATCAACAGAGATTTGGTTTGTAATCTATTCTCATTACCATACTCGACTCATGCAACCTTTTATATAACAAACGTATTTGCTAAAGCCCATTGAAGGTATAAACGGATGACATTTAGTTTGAAACGGTTAATCTTTACTCAGTTAAAACAACTGAGGAGCAACACGATGACATTTATGAAATGCCACTGTTTTACAACCACATAGAAATTCTGCTGTAAAGTTTTGTTTTTTTTCAGGTTTGAACTCTTATTGCCAGAGGCCATTTCTCCTCTGGTTAGACAAAGAATAGTGTGGAGCTGTCAGTTAGCTGGGTGGAACAGTCTGGAAAAAGGGATAATCCCCATAAACATTTCATTTTGCTGTAAAATTTGTCCTGAAAATGTGTGAAGATTGATGGCCTCTCCTTTGTCTAAAAGAGCAGTTTAAACTTAATAATTTAATCAAAAATCATTGAATTACTAATCTCTAACTAACCTAAACTATTACATAAACTTGATATAGTTTCTACTGATTATATATATATATATATATATATATATATATATATATATATATATATATATATATATATATATATATATATATATATATATATATATATATATATATATATATATATATATATATCTTACCCAAACCAAAAATAAAAGCTTACCACTGAATACAATTTTCTTAAATATCTGCCATAGGAATTATTTTCCACTAAACAGAAATATAATTTCTCAGTGCAGCTTTCTGACTGTACAAAAAATAACTCCTAATAACCAAATTCATTATTAGCTGTAATATTAGCTTTATTGTGCTAATAATAGAGTGATAAGTCATAATTTTAAGTCAAATTAACAGGATGGAACAATGTATCATGTTATTTTCCTCCTTACCAGGCTGGTTTCTTTAGTTACTGACATAAATGGCCTGGTAAATCAAGATTAATTAAGAAAATTTAAGGCCTACTTGAGTGTATCATCTAGAAAGACTAGATCTAAAGGCTAAAAAAACAACAAAACGTCACTTAAAAACGACAAAAATGCATTGAAAAGTAAACACTATTGAAAAGTGGATTTTTCTTTTATGATACAAATTAAGTATATCTATTCCAAGACAAAACTAACTTCACTAAACTGAAATCTGATGTCCTGGTTGTCTGTGCATTTAACACTATGGAGTAAAATGTCTGGTAGTCTGAAAACCTGGCCACCATTGATCGATTTTTTTTTTTTTTTCTGGCTCCACCACTGGCATACCTATCAGCTGTCTGGCTTATTGACATGTAACTCTATACAACAGAGCGGAAAGATTAAGTGGGTGAGTGGATAAAAGAGTGAGTGACTGAGTGAGGAAAAGAATAATTAAATTAGTGAACAAGTGGAAAAGTAAATAGGTGAGTGTGAGGAGAAAGTTGTAGTTATTTGGGTGTGGAAAAGCTGCAGGTGCAAAGGTGAAGGGAGGGGCTACATCTAAGCAGAAAGAAATCAGTGTCTGTATGTCTGTAAATGAGTTTCAGTTCATATATATAAAACATTTGAACTGTGCCTTCTGAACTTAACAGCACAGGGATGCTACTGTAAACGTGTGTATGCACCACTGAGCTTCTTGTTTGGAATAGTGTGTAACCGTTAGTAAAATGCATGCCATGCATTTTAATAACACTGCAGTAAGTGTAATTAAGGTGAGCAGCAGCAGCGACAGTAGCAACATTAGTGAGCAGTAAATAGAAAAGTGGACAGTGAGGGTGTGGGCCTCGGAACAGAAGCACTTACCAAAGGACTCTGTGGTTAAAAAGATACAAAGAGAAAAGAACAGCATAGACAGGGCATTATAATCGGACCACTGGTTACAAAGATGTTTTGACTTAGATGAAACACCTAGAAAAAGTATCGGAACTCCAAAGAACTTCACTACATACAACTTTATAGTAACAGGAATAATGAAAGTCAACTATTTAGCAGCTGTTTATTATGATTACATGTAAAAAAAATATATCAATTAACATTTTTAACAGTATGCAGTGCTGTAAAAAAATATTTACACCCCTTGAACTTTTTTCATTTTGTCATACTAAAGCCATCTAATATCATCTTATAAAAAAATTGATTCTTTTTTATAAAATGATCAGTTATTGTAAGTTGCAAAGAAAAAATCTTGCAAACTGTGGTAAGTATTTGAATATGCTCTCAGTTCATCACTATTCTATTGAACCACCTTGCACTGCAATTGCAACTTCAACTTTATTTGGTCATGTAGCTTTACATGTGTAGTGCATGGATATTTCACCTATTCATTTTTGCAAAGAACATGAAATAGATTGGTTTAAGTAAACCCCTTAGGATTCTGTTTTTCAGTCTTTCCAGACACTCTGTCTAGAGTTGGACCGGATTTGTGCTTTTATTGAAACCGTTCCTTTGAGGCTCTGGTTTGGGTTCTTACCCGTCTAGCAACTGAACCTTAAATCAAATCAGCTTCCCAATTGTTAAAGGGAAAAGCCTCCTGAAAGCTTAACGCTGCCATCACCCTGCTTTACAGTAGGTCTCGTGTCTTAGATGGCCCTTGGAAGGCCATTTGTTCATTTGTATTTTCTAAATAACCTCTTAGAAATGTACAGGACAACAACCTGTTGCTCCAGAATACTAAGTGACTTATTTAACCTTTTAAAATAGATTTTCTAAAAAAAACTACAAAGAAATTATTTTTTAACAATTTTTCACTTTCTTTTCTTTTTCTCTAATAATCACATTTGATCTTTAGGATATTAATATCTCACAAAAGAAGAGAATGTATCCATTCTTGTTTTCAAAATGTGTTTTTCTTTATTTTCGAACCTAACGATAAAAATAAAACAGTGTTTTTTAAAAGTTGGTGGCATTTAAAAAGTAAAAAAAAGTAGATAATCATAAAAAAAAATCCTTCATATTTTGTAACATTCCTTGTTCTAATGAGATTTATTAAGCTGTACAAAGGAAAAAAAAAAAGTCTTTTACTTATGTAAAGGTTTCAAACCCGAAATAAAAACTGGATAGAAAATATTGGCATTGATATTTAAATGGATGTTATTTGAAGGTGGAAATTTAAGGACCCTCTTGAAAACATGATGGTTTGATCCCAAGGGGCTAATTCATTCAGGTTACTAAATATGTTTTATTGCAAAAGAGGACTTTGATTCTATTAAGCATGTAAGAAGTGAGAAAAAAATTATTCCTCCAGGATTTCATATTCTAGTAGACCTTAATTTTGTGAAATAAAATTACACAATATGACTTCAGGCGACTGAATTATGACTAAAACTACATTAAAATGTGCTGCCAAAACTAAAACTGATTCAATTTCACACAATTGGACATTGTTACCTAAGTAGGTGACCTTTGATGACACTTTTTCTAAGGCTTATAAACACAGCACTCTTTTTATACACCCCCAGTTTTAATATACTCTAAAAAATTACAAGCATTTGTACTTTTTTTCTTTAGTAATTTGCAACCTTGAATCAATCAAATTCTAAGTAAAATATATAAAATTTTGTGATGTAATATGACAAAATGAGATAAGCTTCAAGGGGTTGGAACACATTTGCACGGTCTTGTAAATAAGCTAAATGATTAATAATGATTATAATATTTGAACAGGGACGGAAACAAAGAGGTTGTTTTCTATAATGAAGCCAGAAATTCGGCCCTCCAATTACAAGAAAATAAGTTTTGGGTAAAGAGCTGGCCCCTGGAGGCAAAAGGGAGAACTGAGGAGGAACAGGCTTTGGGATTTTACACACTACTGTGGCTATCGAACACAACAGATGGAGAAGGTTTAACTTGCTTGACTGCAGTCATTTTCTATGAAAAAGTTGGATGAATTTAGTGCATATTTCCTTAAATTGCACGAGGAAAGCTTTAGAAAGTAAATTTCCATTTAATTAGAAACAATCTTTGCAAAACATGAAGACAAAAAAACAAAAGATTGAGTCTTTAGTCACAGCAGTGGGCTACTTCAAAAGAGGCTATTCCTTTATGTACAAACCACCATCACTTGGTTTTGCTATAAACATTTGACAGCAGGAACATTTGTTGGTAAAAAAAATACATAAAATAAAGCTGATACTTTTCATGGACATTTCGGGGGTATGATTTGTGAGGAGCAATTTTTCCGTGATGGGGATTTGTACAGGAAGTCCTCAGATAGTTTGGAGAAAAGTCTGGATTTCACTTTAAAAGGGTTTGAACTGATTCCAGGGGGAGATGACCATACACAGCCAGCTCATTATACAGCAGCGGCAGAGAAAGGCAGCTGAAAAAAAACAGCCAGAGGAGCAGCAGCAGGACGAGTAGGGTGGAAGCGTTGTAAGAAATTGGTTAAATATCAGTAAGTGCATAAAGGAACCATATCAAGAATTAAAAAACACAATTTTAGAGGAAAAACAGATTAGGGATGGGAGGGAAGAAAAAATAACGTTGGGTAAGAAGAACCGCCACGTTGAAATAAAAGCAGGGATTCAAGGGCAGGAGGAAAAAATAAGGGGATAAATTCAGGGGTTACCTGAGCGGAGCTGCTTTATTCGACCGTTATTATTGGACGTGTTGACCGGAAGGAAATCCTTGAACCAGGTAATTTCTGGGTCAGGGTTGCCGCTTGCTGCACAGAGCATGGTGGCAGTCCGTGAACGCTCCACCACTTTTAGCTGGGGTCCCATATCAATGGTGGGAAACCCTGGGGGCAGTTGGTCCTCTGCAACACATTAAATACACAAGTTATACAGTATATAGAACCTTAAAGAACAGCAGACAATTCTTCACCCAAACTTTAGTGGCAAATTTAGAGTTTCTGGTAAGTACCCGCATAAAACCTAGAACGGTTTTATAGAATTACAAGATAAGATCAAAGGAGTTTTCATAAGTTCCTAGAGCTTGTTTCATCACCAAAAAAAAATTGCCCAGCCCAAAAAATATAATAGGATAAATAAAGTACTTTTAAAATAAAATGCAAGTGAGTTGTATGTTTGAAAGTATCTGTTATATCAAAGAAAGGTTTTGATGATTTTACTTAAGTATATCTGGGAAAGTTTAAGGGAAATAACCTTTAAAGCTTGTGAAAGTTCTGATACATTCCATTAAATCTCCAAGAAACTTAAGAGTTCAAGAAAAAATCTGAAAAGTACCTGACTGGTTTTAGGAAATTATCAAAGTAAGCACCTGGTAACCTCTTATACCTGCTGATAGGTTTTGCCACAGCTTTAAAAAAAAGAACAACACCACACAAACACTACCGTATAATCTTTATTTTCCACTTTTTCTTTATTTGGACTTTAAGAGAAAACATATGGATTGTAGTTCTGGTTCTCTTTGAATAAACATGTAAATGAGGGAGATTATGTATTGATGGAACAATCGCTTCTCTAATCACAACAAATAACATCTGCGAAAAACCATTTCTGAATAAAAAAAAACAGATTAAATACACTGGCAATAAATTCTACTGTACCCAGGTCCTGACAACTACTAACTGCTTGATTTCTGCTCTTACATCAGATGAGCACGGTTACAGTTAAACACATATCAATGCATCCCAACCTGTATCCTGTAACGATCCTTCCTGGCAGGAATTTAAAATAGTGAGTGGGATATGTTTATGAGGCACTTTGGGTCCCTTAGTACAAGCTAAGCATCATTTAAAACCCTCACAATGATGCTATCTAATATTGCTGACAACGTCCATCACTGTATGACCCCATTAAATCACCTTTAAAAAAGATATCTAAGCACAAAACTTGAATCATAGACTGATCCCATCCAGATGAGCATGATCTTTTTTGTTTTTTATGTTTTACCAAAATGGGACTTTAGTTAAAAATAATTGCTAATATGTTGTTAAATAACAAGAATTTTAACATTAAATAGTTTTTTTTTCTGTCAGATTTTCTGCCCACTCAGGAGCAAGTACATCCTGTTTCTACTTCTTTTTACACGCTAGCAGAACATCCTGATCTATGAGGATTAGAAATAACTACTTACATTTGAGTGCAGTGACCCGTTCTCTTCTGTCATGCAAAGCGATGGCTCTAGATTCACTAGACACACGAGTCACTGAGCCAATGGGGCAGATAGTGTTCAAAAGATACAACTTAATGATATTTAATAACTCTATAAACTGAAACTCATTAATGCCTAATGGTCCATACTTTACAACCCATCTTATGCTTCTTTGACATTCATTTTAGCTTCTTGATAATAAAACTTGTTTAGTTTTTCAGAAAAATGGCTTCTGTTCAAACAAAGTAGAATGGCATTAATCTTAAATGTATGTTTGATTAATACTTAAAAAAACAACAACAACAAATTAACCCAAAATGACAAGCATAACTATCAGGTTTTAACATAAAAAAATCCTGTCAGTCCGTGAATCTGTTGAGTGTACTTGTGCAAAGGAAGCAAGGGTTTTCTGGAACATATTTTTACTTTTTTATGCGGAAAGATCAGTGGCTTTTTGGTCCATTTTTTTCCCTCTGGGTCCTTTCATGATGGACTTGTGCCAACATTGGCTACATTCACACTGCAGGCCTTGAAGCTCAGTTCCGATTTTTTATGTGAAATCCGATTTTTTGCGTTGCCGTTCACATTTCCAAATATATGCAGCTTGTATGTGATCTCCTATGTGAACTGCAGTCATACAATGCAAGTGTCCGTCATGCGCAGTAGAAAACACAATGACATCACAGGCCAGAGTGCTCCGTGTTTATGGAAGTAAACATGGATGGTAGTGCAGGAACGCATCTAGCGATCTTTCCAAACCATAAAAACACAATCTTTTCAAGATGGTTAAACATAAATACTGCTCTTCCCAACATCATCTGCCATGGTTGTTGTTTTTCTTGCCACTTCTTCATAGCAAGACACAGAATAGTGACCTTTATCGGGTATTAATGGCGTTCAGGTCGGATGAATGTGACCTGGCCGTTCAGACACAGGTTGCATTTGAAAAGATCAGATTCGTATCAGATTCAGGACCACATAGCCAAGTGGCCTGGGTCGGATTGGAAAAAATCGGATCTGTGTTGTTCAGACAGCCATGAAAAGTTCAGGTCCAGGTCCTATATGGGCCAAAAAAATCGTATTTGGATCACTTCAGGCTGCAGTGTGAACGTAGCCATTGAAAAAAGACTTTAGAAAGCAGCAAAAGAAGCACTTCAAAGCTGTGGTGTCTTATTCAGGCATTCTGGACCAAAGTGGACACAGAACTTAGCAAGCAGGATGGTGAGTTTGAGAATTTATTAAAGGTTTTGGCAGCTGCTTTATATTGACAACTAACTGAAGGCTTAAATAATGGTGAAAACCGTAAGAAATATACAAAAGAACTAAATTAGAAAACATAAATTAAAGGAACGGAAGTCAAATGGCAAAAATAACATGAACCAAACCAAAACCATAATCTGTCCTGCAGGTCCTGACATGTAGGAGTTCAGTTACTGCCTCTCTAGGAAATGTTTCTAGGTGGGTGTCAAAGGGAGGATTTTTTTTTTGGTTTCAATAAGCTACACTGGTTAAATGTAAAGCATTTCTGAATTGTACGGTTCTGAAGGGGTGTCAGAGCAAATGGTTTTGGCAGAGACTATGCAGAAAAAAACTGCACATAATGCATAGCATTGCTTAGATTACCAAAACTCTTTTGTAATGCTGTTACTTCATAGCTGAGCAAAATAAATGTCTGTTAACGTTTTCTGTTGATCTATGTCACTATTTTCACATTTCAGTACTAAAAATGAACAAAGCTGTGGTATTTAATGAAAACCATTTTTCCTCCGGTTGTTCATACTTCTGGGTTAGTCAGTCAATCTTACAAATGTGGCCAAATCTTCAAAAACGTTGATCAGTGAATCTGCGCAAGTCATATTAGCACAGTTTCAGGAAGACGTTTTACCTCAGGTTAAGCTTGCTGTTGTGCAAATTATATGAAAATCAATAAACTACATGATATTTGAAACTTCAAGAGACTCAGCAAAAGCGACAACTTGACACCCCACAGGATACTAGTAAGAAAAAAAAAAAAGAGTTGGTTTTATATTCCACTTATGCCTGAATTGTTGCATCAGGTTAGAGACAAGAAGCGGGACCGAACAGATCCAACAGAATGAGTAACATTTTACTCTACCTGAAAAAAAAAAGAAAGAAAAAAAAAGATAAAGCTTCAGGCGACTGCTGCGCGAATGAAAATCAAGTGAAAATCAATTCTCTATTCTGCTGGAAATCAGCAGCAAATGAGCTGCACTTTTTTTCTGTCGACCATCTGTTGAAGTTCACCTCTCGCAAAAAAAAAATCAAAAAGGCACATCCAATAAAGATGGGCCCACTGGGACTCGCAGACCCTGTTGGGAGGGTGAATCAAATGTGAATTCATAGAGATCAGTGGCAATTAAATCTGCAAAGCCACTGCCTGTCGATACAGAAAATCAAAGGCGGTGGGCTAGTTTTACTCACCTGAAGAGGGAGATTTAAATGGGGGGAAGGGAAGCGTAGAGTCTAAGGAGTATGAGGATCAAAGACAGAGGAGCTTGCTCAGAAATAAAAGAGGCTGTATTCAAACTTAGAGTAAAATAGGAACAAAAAAATACCAAATCATGACTGAGTCTCCCCTTTGAAAATAAAATATTAGCGCTCTGAGGAACACATAGTAAAGGCTGACACAGAAAGGAGAGTAAGATGAGCTAAGAATTACTGTTCCTGTGTGTGCAGAAGCTGTGTTTGATCTGAAAGACAGTTTATCCTCTTTTTTTTTCATTTACCCCAGAATCCCTGGTGAGCGTATCCCTCTCCACCACACACAACCTCATTAACAGGAAATCCTAGCACAAAATCTCACAGAGGAGATGCTAATTTTGGCAGTGGCTCATCGAACCATGGCCGATGGCTTGTGAGACGCCGGCATCGACGGGCGCGTGTGTGGCCTTTTAACAGCTCCGGTTACAATCAATCACAACAGGCTGACAAATGGAAACATGGATATAATAAACTAAAAGAACAAGATGAGAAGGTGTTTGTGTGAGCGAGTAAGTCTGAAGGAGAGAAGTTGAACGGGGAAGGCTTGGTAGGGAGGCGTAGAGCGTTAAAAAAAAGAGAGAAAAAGGACAGAAGAAGATTTGAATAGATTAGGACAATGAAAGAGTGACAGAAAGAAAAACAGGAGAGAGGAAGAACAAAACAGAAAGAGGGGGGAGCCAGCATAAGGGATTTAAACAGCATAACAATCCTGATTCTCTCTGCTTTTATTATGCAAACAGTTACTTCAAAGCAAGGCCCCTTGTAGGCAGGAATAATGCATTCTATTTCATCTACCTGGGGTGGGACAGCAAACTGAAGAATAAAGGTGTGCACAGTTGCTCCCTCTGCCGCTTCTCTTCAGCCAGGCACACACGCTCTAAAAGAGCTGTCAGAATAAATCTGCTTGAAGAAAGGCATGAGGTCCCACAAATGCACACACAATCAGTCGATTTATGCGTCCACCTGTTAACTTTTAATGTCCTGGTTCAACTTTGGCTGCTCACCCTCATCAGTTTTGGATTAAAACTTCAGATCTCTGCCACCAAGCTCTGTTTTGACTACAGAGCCAAGATGCACCTTATTCTCAGAATCACTCTAAAAGCAAGTCTTCAATCAAAGATAAGGAACAATATGCATCTAGCTTGAAAGAGTTCAGTCTAGGCAGACTAGAAGAAGTTTGGCCTCTCATCCTCTCATCCACAGTACAGTACATTAATGTCAGTGCTCCTCACCACTAGTTGGAACTGAAGAACTGTTTTGGATGAGAGGCAAAACATCCAGTGGCCAAAACTGAACTTTCCAAGTTTGACCATGACCTGGATGACTGGGAATCTTCACAGATAAATATGCGTCCACCATAAGTTCACCTGGTGTGCTAAGCCAAAAAGAGTCTAGTAATAAGTGTTAATCTGGGCCGTCTGCTGATCCCCTGGCAGCACAGAGCGGGACAGAAAGAGACTGAACAAACTGGTGACAAAAGTCGTTTCTGTCCCAGACTGTGTTCTGGACTAAGTGGAGGAAGTGGCTAAAAGGAGGCTGCTGTTCAAGCTTACATCCATCATGGACAACACCCTCACCCTCACCTTCCCCCCTGAGCAGCTCCTATAGTGAAATATTTTAACACCCTGTTTGTAAAAAGGAGTGTTTACCATAGGTCATTTATCCCTGCTGCCACCAGACTATACAATGCGGCACTACAACAGCAATAACTTGTGCAGTGTCTGATTTGTAATAACTTTTTAATACCCTGTGCAATAACCCTGTATAATAACCCTGCTAAATAAGAGACTTCAGCTGTCATATATATATATATATATATATATATATATAAAAACTGTTTTCTCACCCCTCGTGGGGTGGTATGTGTCATCCTCAAGCTCGGGTCCTCTACCAGAGGCCTGGGAGTTTGAGGGTTCTGCGCAGTATCTATATATATATATATATATATATATATATATATATATATAGTAACACTGTATATATATATGTATATACCCCATGCACCCTTGCCTCCTTTTGGCACCTTCTTTTTCTTTTTGACTATTGAGCCAATAGTAAGTACATTTCTCCAATGTGAGATCAATAAAGTCAATCAATCAATCAATCAATCAATCAATCAATCAATCAATCAATCAATCAATCAATCAATAAACTGCCTTCATTTTGATAAGCTGGTTTTTATTCTGAAGGAAGCAGCTGACGCTACATTGGCATCCTAGTGCGTCACAGTCTGCTTGATTTATTTTTTTTCCTTTTGTTGGGAATAAAACATGACAACTAGCAAAACCTGAGAAGCCTTATGGCAAACCAGCTGTCAGTGTAACCAGTGTTGCTACAAGAGAGGATCTCTCACCGTTTTTTACATTATTATCATTAAAAAACAACAAGACAACAACAAAAAATCGGTGGTAAGTAATGTCTATACCATATTCGAGACAAATATCCACTTCTCAAAATAAGAAAAAGTGTATTAATATTGCCCTATAAGGGCAGGATCTAGCTACCTACTGCACATCCGCCCTTTGATCAAGTGAGGGAAAGAAACTGTCAGGCTCGCCCTCACAGCTGCACTGCCGACGGGGGAACGGAGCAAAGTCAGTGGAGCATCAGCCCTCCGCTTTGAGAAAATGTTTCTGCCTCTTCTACTTTTCTCTCTGAAGGATCATTATGCAAGTAAATGCATCTACCATCCCAACACAGATGTTGGCTCATGCACCAAAAAAGTTGGGATCCTATTAGGTGGGAGACCAATCAAAGATGCACTTTTACAGTTGACTGCTGACTCATAAAGTAATGGACATTTAAGTATTAAATTACTCTGAGCCCCATTATTATTGAAGTCATCGCCAATCAGAGCCATTTATTTGGAGCCAGAATTTCAATTAGTCTGGTGCTAATCATCAGTAATTAAGACAGCTGACCTTTACACTAGATCCCTCCTGTCAGGCAGTCAGTCACTGGAGCTGTCTTTAGAGAGCCAGTGGGGGACTTCAGGACACATAACGGACACAAGTGGAGGGTGTGTTTGAGCGAATGCCCTGTGTGAATCTGCATCGGTGCACACATGTGTGTTTTAGTGTGTGTAGTTTGCAACTGACATTTCGACTGACAGTCTATCAGGGACTATTAGCCGCTCCCAGGTGGCCTCTTATTCATCCACAGCACAATGACTCCTCAGAGGAACAGAAAGAGGCTAATCACTACATAAAGACAGAGTGTCTCAGATGGAGGACATGTTTCTGTGTGCGTGCTTGAATGGTTAAGATCTTGATAAAGGAAGAGATGGAGGATGAGTGAGCTAAACCTTAAAGGAAGAGACAGGAAACTCGCCTATAAAAGGGGAGCGTACACAGATGTTGAGCACAGAGAGTGAGCATTCCCGCCTGCAATTGGGTTTTAAATAGACACACAGGCGCTCGCACGTTCACACACCTAGAGAGACAACTGTATGAGACAGGGAAAATTCTGGATGGATGAAGCTGAACAGCACAGAAGATGCAAAGTGTTCGGATGTGAATAATTTAGAGGATGCAGGGCAGCGGACCTAAGAGCTGAGAGAGACAGAGAGAGCAAAGGAGAGAGAGAAATAGTGAGGAAAAAATGTAGATGAAAGAGAAACAAAGGGAAGGGTAAGAAGGAATAGACTTGTGGAAAGCAGGACTGTAAGATGAAAGGAGTTATACCTCTCAGAGAGAAGGAGGGAGCTACAGAAAGTAGGAGAAGGAAGAACAACAGGCTCCGTGTCCTTTTCCCCATGAGCGTCTCTCCGGCAGAGACAGGTGATGTGATTATCCACACTTGAGCAACTTCTCCCACTAAGACACTCCTGAGCTTCGAACTACCGGTGCATAATGTTCTCCTAATGGACTCCACCAACACAAACATCACCATCTGCATTGATGGGCTCACACTAACAATAAATCATCCGATGCAGTAGATCCAGCATAACAGCTGCACATACTGTACATATACATGCAGACAGACAGACACATAAGAATATGATAAACTTACACTGGTAATACAAATAACACAAAACTTAAAAAGTAATAATAAATAATTATAATAACTATACTAAATCAGAATTTAGGAAAATAAAATATTGATTTTGAAATTTTGTTTAAAAACAATTCTGAAAAACAGATTGTGCAGAAGTCTGACTAACCATTTCCTGAACTTTATAGAAAACACCTTATTTCAGTGATTAACTCAAAGTGTTGCTCAACAATGTTTTAATTCAGGAGCTCGATCAGACTTGTTTACTATATATATATATATATATATATATATATATATATATATATATATATACTCTTTAAATAAATATTCAAAATCAATATTTTATTTTACTCTATGGTCATTTGATCATTTGGTATATTCTTATTAATTAAAAAATATTATTAAATGTATTATTAAATTACAAGTGTGAATTTATTTTTAGTATGCAAATTTAAAACAAAATGGAAGATTTGCATTCATAGTCCGAAATAAACTCAGAATTAACTAATGCTTTTACAGGCATAATTTTGTCCAAGCATAAATCCTGTTTTTTGGTTTGCCTGGAAAAAAAGGAGAAGCAGGGGAGGCAGTCATAGCTAAGAGATATGGAGATGGGGCCACTGATAGAGGACCTCATAGAGGCTCCAACAGTTTTGGGAATAAATGAGAGGAGAGGTACAACAATCCTGCACATAAAGGAAGTACAAAAAGTACAATAGTTCATATGAAAGCTAGATTAATGTACTAGAACAGCCAAGGTAAAGTCCAAACAAACATTAAAAGACCCCACAGCTTTGGTTGCAGGGATAGCAGGCTTTAAAAGGTCTTACTTAGGTGTGTCAATAAAATAATATTGACTAAGCAATGGTTGTCTGGATTTGGAAAAAAACACTAAAGGTTGATCTAGCTTTGATGTTATGTCCCTTAAACAGATCTGAATGAAATTCAGTATTGTGCCCTCATACCATCCTCATGGAGTTTCTAACAGTTTGTGCAGACACATGCACATTTGTGGCCTGCTGGATGTCCGTATGCAGGTCTCTAACAGTCTTCTGGTTCCTCCTTGCAAAAAGGCGGAGGTAGCGTTCCTGCTGCTGGGTGGTTGGCATCCTACAGCCTCCTTCACTTCTCCTAGTGTACTGGTCTTTCTCCGGGTAGCGCCTATAGCCTCTGGACACTTCGCTGACAGTCACAGCAAATCTTCTTGCCACAGCTCATATTCACGTGCCATCCTGGATGAGCAGCACTTCCTGAGCCAACTGTGTGGGTTGTAGAGTAGAGAAGTGGTCTGAGGTCCCCACCCACAGAACCGCTCCTTTATTGAGTGTCTTGCTAATTGCCAATAATTTCCACCTGTTGTCTATTGTATTTGCACATCAGCATGTGAAATTCATTGTGTTTCAGTTTTGCTTCCTAAGTGGACAGTTAGATTTTACAGAAGTTAGATTTATTTGAAGTTATTTTGTATTGTTTACATACCCCTTTTATTGTTTTGAACAGTATATTTATTATTCCTTCAAAACATTGTGAAAAAAGTTACATATCTTACATTAAAGACACTTTATGTTCCTGTTAAGACATTCATTATAATTTTACCAGCATGAAAGAAGAGAACGGAGATGTTTAACTGACAATAACATCTGGGCAGGCAAAGAGGAGGCTTAATAGTGACCAGATTTGAGGGGCTGCTGGAGTACAATGACAAATGCTTCCAAACTGACCTCTTAAGACACTGAGTCGAGTGGTAGCAGTAAGCTCTCCTGCTGAGTTGGAGGCATGACATTCATAAATCGCCTCATCTCTGGGGGTCCTCAGTGGCTGGATCCTCAGGACAGAACCCGACCCATCGTCAAACTCTATCACCTGGTAATGTAAAAAAAAGAATAAATTCAACGTTCTGCAAGTTTAATGGAATTAAATATTTAGCTTATTCAAATGAATTGTTTGAGAATAAAGCAGCTGGTAATTTTATTCCTACAATCTGATTAAATATTTCAGTGACACAGCCGCCACACTTAGCTTTTCTCTTTAATGTTTTCAAACTATTTTTTACTGAAACAACTTAAAAAACCTTTTTCCCATCATCCTTATAAAGAAAAGTACATCAAAAAAATTCTGGGAACCTGTAATCATCCACTGTTCTGGGTAACTTTATGGGGCAGAAATACATGGAAATGACTTTCGCCCATTTAATTTTGTTCTTCTTGGATATGCAATAATTTGGGATGCTTTAAAAAAAAAAAAATTATATGCTGCATTATAACTGCTCTTGCATAAGCTTAATACACATGTAATTGATCTGGATTCAAAATTCTGGGACATTTTCTACTGACGGAAATCCAATAATGATAAATCCCATAACAAGTCCTGCCCAGCAGGGCAGCAGTGACGACTCAAATTTCATAAAGGTCTGGATTAAAAATAAAAGAGCTGCTCTATTTTTTATTTTTATTTTTTTATTATTTTTTTATTTTCACAGATCAAAATAAAAACTCAGAATACACCAATAGAATAAAATAAAAAAATGTGATGGAGTGTGACAGAAACCCTTTAGGGCTTATACCAAGGCCACACCCGTAAACCAACAAAATATCAGGCAGCTCACATTATGAAAGTCCTTTCAGAGAAAACAAAATAGACATATACAGTAACATTATTTTTACATTTTAGCATTCAGATTTCAGGGGGTCAAATTTTTGTAAAATCATACATCACTGTCTTTTTTGGATAACAGTATTTTTTTCAAAGACTTTCTACCATTTATTTCTGAAGATTCCAAATATTTTCCATATTCATTCCATAATTTTGCACCACGATGCCGAAAAGAAAATTGCACTTGAGTTTTAATACTTAACGGTAAATGAAAAGACAAAGCTTGTCTAGTATTATAAGAATGCACTTGGCAGTTCTTAACAAAATATTTCTTAAAAGTATCAGGAGACTTACCTTGTTTTATCATAAAAATAAAGGTACATGTTTGATAAATATTAATTTCAAAAATATTCAACAGCTGTAATTTGGAAAAAAGAGGAGCACTAGCTGCATCAACTTTAGAGAATGTTGCTAAGCGAACAAAAGCTTTTTGCAAAAGTAGTATTTTTTTAAGATAACTAGGAAATGTACTTGCCCAAACAATATTACAGTATGACAGGTATGGATAGATTAATGAATAATATAGAGTTAACATCACTTTATTGTGAACAAAATTTCTAATCCTTCTCAAAATACCTAGAGATTTAGTGACTTTTTGCAGACTGTACCAATTTGTTCTCTCCAAAGGAGTTTGTCGTCAAGTGATTTGGTCACAAACAAGAAACAAGAGAGGCTAACCTAAACCTGCAACTTACAGTCGAGAGCATCCTGGGCACAGTGTGAAGGGTGGTGGGGGGATGGGGGGGGGCTGAGCGTATAAGAATCTCACAGACTGTAGCCCAAGGCATCATCTGACTTATAGGAGAGTTGAAGAACATGGCATTTCTCACACCTGTGCAACCTTTGAAGTAGAAAAGCAAGAAAACTGATTGCATCTTTTGAGCTTCAAAGCACACCGTTTGTGACTAAAACAGATCTCTCAGCTCCCAGTGCTAAGCTAAATATCAGCTGTCAATATTACAATGTATTAAATATTGGAATTTTTCATGATAAATAATCACTATCATATTCAACCTATCATTCAGAATTATATTCTATTTACTAAAATAGGTCTTGATAGACTTAATTATGAATCTCCATCATAAGGTTTGATAAAATACAAAGTTTAAAGTATTTTGCTCTTGATGACATCACAAGGGGCATATGATCCATAAGCATTAAGGAACACTGTGGGGGACTGATTTTGACAGATTCTGAGCAGTTAAATTGGCATATAATCACGAGCGATTTAACCCTTCATGTTTAGGCTAGAGTCTGACTTTCAAGTCTCATGGATGCTGTCATGGATGGTAAAACTAAAGAGAAGAGCAAAGATGGCAATTCTGATTATCAAAACATGAATAGTAATATTCATTCCTTATTTATTCCTCTCAGTTTTTCCACCTGGTAGTTTTTTTGTTGCATCTTTGAGTGCGGGAAACATTCAGATAAGTTTTCAAAAACCAACTTCTGACCGCAGAGAAATGGGTTTGTTTCTGCATCTGTTGTGAGCAGTGATGGTGAGAGAGGAATGGACTTCTCTACGGCACAGACAGACTGGGAATGGGTACCAAATTCAGTACTTTTGTAAGTAATGAATTCTGTCAGTGCAATAGATACCTGTTTCACGTGAAACCAAACAGTCATTTGTTTTAGTACCTAAACTGATCATTGATACAGAGGGAATGAAGGAGTGGGTAACTTTAACACTGCATAGAACAGGCAAAAGTGTGATACAACAGAACCCACTGGTACAGTGAATAAAGGAAGGATGGCTAAGCAAAGAGCTTCAGAATATGGCTCCAATTTTCAAAATGCGATGCAAATTACACTTCCTGCGATTTTCGCGGCCTATTCTGCAAGGCCAGCGGCGGGTGCATTACTAATCTGAGGAAGCACCTGGTTAAGCTCACAATTTTTGTCATGGCGGATGATTGCACAATTTTTTAAAGCCTTGGATCTACGGCTACAGCTTCTGCATTCAGCACCATTAGCATGCCTGCATCTTTTAGAACTTTGTTCTCTGTAGCAGGCAACCTGGGTGAGGGGGCTGCATAACCATCTTCTCTGATCAAGGTGCATAACTATAGCGTTAAAGATGATGTTAGCCTCACCGATTCTAATGTAGCAGGAACCGTTATCAAATGTAAACGGTATCTTTCCCAAGAAGTGGGATTGTGATGCATTTGTGTCCTCGATATAAATTATTTAATCAAGTGCCATCTAATGCAACATGTCTGGAAAATCATCTCTATGCAATCACCATTTCATATGAATGTTTAAAAAAAACTTTTCTTTAAATTATCACTTATGTTTTAAGTGAAAAGATAAAACTTTGTGCTCTGATCTTTTTATAAAAAGTTCTTCCATTTGTTTGATCCTGTTCCTGCTAATTTTTCCTGAAATCCATGGAGTTCTCCAAACAACTCATTGACAACAAATCATCAAAGGAGGAATTTATTAAAACACATAAAAAGGAGAATAAAACAACAGAAAGGAACTGGGAAATAGAAATAAAAGAAAAGCTGTGACTGTTTTCCTGATGTGCTGTAACTTGAGGGATATGTGTGTGTGTAGTTGTATATGTTACTTATTTAGAACCTTTTTTGGTATATTTGCTGACCTTCTGAGGACCAACAGGCATTACAGGGACCAAAAAGCTGGTCCTAATGTGGCAGATCCGAATGTTTTCATGGTTAAGGATGAGGTTATTTATTTTTAGGATGAGGTTATGGTTATGGTTAGGTTTGTATTGAATGCAAGCTAATTTAGGGTCTCAACTCTAAAGTGTAGGTTAAGTTTAGGGTTAGGTATGTGTTGGTAATGTTTAGGGTTAGGGAAAGGGTCACGGTTAGGCCATATGAATTACTGGGAAATTAATAGAAGAAGAAGAATAGGAGAACAATTCTACTTTATTTTCATTACAATTGTCACAGGTACAAAGCAATGAAATGAAACCTCTGCATTTAACCCTGTATTTAGTGTGACACAACGTGTGTGTGTGAAAGCTTGTTTCTCAGAGGGCAGATTTAAAAAAGAATAGAAAAACAACTAAAAGAAACTACCATGACACATTTATAGACTTTTGTCACCGACTATATCTAAAGGGAGTTTGGCTGATCGTACAAATAATTCTGGTGACCAGCTTTATTAAGATAACTTTAGTTATTAGGGTTTTCAAAGATTTAGCGTTAAGTACTGTATCACAAAGCAATAGCAAAACATATGGATCCTCACAGACTATCAGCTGGTATGAAAGAAGACGCTCTTTCACTAGAGTGAGTTAGAGGAGATGGATATGTCTCCCATGCCCAGCCATTAATCCATTAATTATGAAGCTACAGCCCGGAAATGGTCAGTTCAACCTGTAATAAAGTCTCCAGTAAACAACAGTCCAATCAATGAGCTTCTGTTTTGACCTCTGTCATCAGATGCTAACCTGTATATTTAACAGCGATAGAAGACGTCACAGTAGCGTGTCTTACCTCAAATCTCTGGTTGCTGACTTTTTTGCCTTTCTTATTCCAAACAATCTTGGGCTGTGGATCTCCTGTTGCCTGGCATACGAAGGAAGCCACTCCCCCCTGCACTCCAGTTTGGTGCTCTGGAGTTCTTGTGAATCTAGGTGGAGCTGTGAGGGAAAGATAATACAAGAATAAGTATGGAAATATCTGTAAAATGAAATATGTAAAACATGCAAACATGGTGTGTAATTAATGATATACATAAATACATTACATGTATAATGTAGTTCTTATTTCTGGAGAGCCGAAGTGTCAAGTAACTAAGTACAAATACTTCCTTACCTTACTTAAGTAGAAGCTATCTATACTTTATTTTATTATGTTTAATTTGTACTTGTACTTCTTACAGATTAAGAATAGACTCCTTAGTTTTGTTTCATGTAAGCTACTTTTTATCATGGCCTTTTGATATATAAAAAAATATAAAAACCATAAAAATAATGAGTTTCATTCAGACAATTAATTTCTTTGAGGTTGGACTTGGTACTGCACCAACTTGGTGTTCACTACATGCCAAAATACATAGTTTTTCAAGAGGGTGCAAAGTTAAATTTGAGACTGTTGAAAATTAAGTATAAGAAGGTTAAAGGAATAGTACACCCAAAACATGATTAGCCTTCATTTTCTACTCACCCCCATGCTGAACAACACTCTGGAGTACTTTTTTGATATCTCAAATGCATCTGGAGATCTGGGAGGCTTCTTGCTGTCTGCTGACATTCAAATAATGGAGGTCCATGGCGCCCGAGACAGAAAGGTCCATAAAAGTCCACAAAAACGTGTCAATATTCCTCCATACTGCTCGTCCAATGTAATCCAAGTGTCCTGAGTGGGTAGCATCCAGAATTTACTCGAAACGAAGTCATTTAGAATGTTTTTAGAGCATAAACAGTAGTGTATAGGATTTCCTAATAGCGCCCCCATGCGCGCTCACGACGCTACGGAAGCCGGCAGACCAAACCGGAAGAAAGTGCGCATTCAGCGTCTGGTCTGCCGATAATGCAAGCGTAGAAGAAGAAATGTGCTGTTTACCTGTGCAAAGAAAGAAACAACGAAAGAAAAATGTCTGAGGACTTCAGTGTTGAGGAAGAGCATGAGTTCTTTGCCGAGCTGAATGCGCTGGTTTGGTCTGCCGGCTTCCGTAGAATCGCGAGGCGCGCATGGGGGCGCTATTAGGAAATCCTATACACTACTGTTTATGCTCTAAAAACATTCTAAATGACTTCGTTTCGAGTAAATTCTGGATGCTACCCACTCAGGACACTTGGATTACATTGGACGAGCAGTATGGAGGAATATTGACACGTTTTTGTGGACTTTTATGGACCTTTCTGTCTCGGGCGCCATGGACCTCCATTATTTGAATGTCAGCAGACAGCAAGAAGCCTCCCAGATCTCCAGATGCATTTGAGATATCAAAAAAGTACTCCAGAGTGTTGTTCAGCATGGAGGTGAGTAGAAAATGAAGGCTAATCATGTTTTGGGTGTACTATTCCTTTAACATCCAGAATTGTGGACAAATTTTTCTTTCCTAGGTTCCTGCATTACTTTTAGTTTACTTTAAGTAGTATTAAAAATGGTACTTTTAGACTTTTACTTGAGTTAAAAGCTTAAGTTGATACACTATCTTCTACAAGAGAGTTTTTAAACAGCAGGATTTATATTTCTACTTGAGCAATAAAAAATTATACTTTTGACACCTCTGCTGGAAAGGCTTATAGAGAAGTTAAGCTTATCTAATCATACCCCTTCTCCTTCCTATTCGCTGCAAAAAAAAACAACAATTTTCCGAATTTCTATGAATATACACATTAACATGTGCCTGCACACACCTTCATTTATACAATTGTTACTCATTGTACACACGACTTGACAATTGCAAAAAATATGTATACACATCTGTAATACCTTCACAATAAACCTGCTAATGATGGAGCAAAAATATATAAACCGAGTAAGGACCAAAGTTTTAACATAATAGTTCATAAAAAAAAAAAAAAAAAAAAACTGAATTCATCTAAAAATCCTTATGGAACACGGAACAGATTTGTGTCACACTGTCAGTCAGATAGGTGAAAAAAAAGCCCATATTTTTATATTACAACAAGGAAAAATTCAGCAGTTTGAAATATATTTCAGTTGTAATACCAGTGCTACCGCCACTCACTACACTTAGGAAGAGTTCAGGACCAATTGTCTTAGCTACCTCCAGTTTAATGCAACTGTTTTGCAGTTAGCTAAAATATATCACTTGTAATTTATGATAATTATGTACTTATAGATATGTTTTTTTTTTAAGCTTGGGTGTCTCCATGCTTTTTGATGCTATCCTTTAATTCAGACAAAGATTAACCTGAAACTTTAGTGGCTAAGTGTTAAAGATTGATTTTTCCTGCATTCACTGGATTATTTCTCAACAGTTACCAGCAGATGGGGAATGAGGGCAGCTGTGGATGAAGAATGGAGATTTAAAACAAACATTGAAAACACTGCATATGTCTTCTTTTCACTTGTGCATAACAGGCCAAGGGGAAAGAAACCCCCAAACCCAATGATTTGGATATGAACCACCAAAGAAGCAAAATATGATCAGTAATATTGAATTATTTCAGGAACGCATTTTAAAACACAACTGAAAAATACCAAAAAAAAAAAAAAAAAGAAAGAAAGAAAAGAAATAACACAACCAGTCCTCAGTGGTTTAAAAGAGAAACATCATGATTTTTTTTTCATTCCTGTTTTCACAAATAAGTCAAGACGTATCCTTTGTTTTAGGGAAAGTTTGGATCTATAACATTTTTATGACATAATGATCAATATATATTATTGTAATTAATGTATGAAAACATTTTGCTTTTCAGGTTTTAGCACAAGAAATTACATATATAAACTATGATATCTGGAAAACATTATACTGTAATATTGTTGTTGGACAGCAATTACAGATTACAATTAATCCCAACTTTTCATTACATTTAAAAACTTTTCTATTATCATATCTCCTTCGCTCAGCTTTAGCATTTCAGTCACTATATATTGCCTGGTTCAAATGGCAAGACAATTCTGGGGATTTTTGACCTGATCTTCCCCTTCCGACATTCTTAAGGATGCTCTGATTATCGTGATGCTCCAAGGATAATCTTATGAGATAATCCTGCTGTGTGTGCAGTCTGCTCAGAAGGGTGTTGGAACTGCTCTGACCTCAAATCAGGGATATTCAACATGTTGGCTGGTCCCCAGAGGACAAACAAGGACGCAGCCTGTTGAATATAGCCAATCAGAAAGCAAGGTGATGAAAACACAGCAACAATAAAACAAAAACACACACCGATATCAGTGTAGCAAGGAGAGCCAGTCCTTTATCCAATACCTTCTCTTTCTTTAATTTTCTTTCTCTGTTAAAATTGATTGAGATGCAGTGATCCTATACCTGGATCGGATAACAGTGATTTGATATCCAATCTAGTCCAATCTTTTTTTTTCTGCTTATTTGTTAATAAATTATGAAAAGTACATTTATATCTGTGTTAATTTGTTACCTTTTTTTGACTATGTTTTTATGTTTTTAGTTTATTCATTTAACATTGGTTCATTCTTGGTGAAATCTTTTTGTGTGTGGTGTGTTGTGCTCACCAAGCTTGTAAACCTTACACTGTAGGGACAAACCCGATTTATCAGGGATTTTAGATTTAAAAAGCTGACATACAATTTTAAAATCTTTCTGCATGAAGCAGGTATAATTTGTTTGTATCACCGGAAATCCATTCAACTGGCCAATAGGGCTGAATGAGTTCGCCAAAAATAAAAATTGGAAATTTTTTTCTAACTCTATTTTTGCATTTGTGGTTTTATTTTGGTATTCATTTGCACACAAGCATATTAGATGTTTCACTTCAGACTTTTATTGTTATCATAACATTGAAATCTTGCATGTAGAGTCCAATGTGATTTCAGTTTTACTGTTGTGTGGCAACGTAATTACTACTGTGGGTTAGCTACAAATCAATTTCCCCTTTTGTGTGGTGGCAATTCCACTTTAAACTTTAAGCATATAACTGCAGCCTAAAGCCCAGGAGTAAGAAAGTCAGTGTTTTAATCTTGTTTTATGTAATGAAACCAAATTTGAGAACCTCTGCAATTTAAAAATGACAATTATACTGCTAATACAGTGAATTGCCAAGCTAAATGTATTATTGGAGAGGAGATCATGAATGCAGGAAGCCAAAATTACAACAGAGTATTAAATTACTGCTTCAAAGCAAATCTTAACACTTAAAGCATCATGCACACTAAAGTGCAGGTCTAAACTTGACATGTGTATATGATTTTGTTATCATATCTGAACATATACCATGATACTGTGACCCAAACAGTGACAAATATATGCTGATCCTTTTATCAACTGAAACTTTGGGTATAATTTAAAACAAACATTTTTGCTGACAAATCTCTCTTTGGGAGGCTGCACAGTGACGCAATGGGTAGCACTGCTATCTTGCAGCAAGAATGTTCCGGGTTCAATTCCCGGTCCGGGGTCTTTCTGCATGGAGTTTGCATGTTCTCTTCTCCCTGTGCATGTGCGGGTTCTCTCTTCCTCCCACAGTCCAAAAACATCACTGTTAGGATAATTGGCTTTTCTAAATTCTCCTTGTGTGAGTGGTTGTTTGTCCTGTCAGGGGGTGTACCCCCAGCCTCTCACCCATTGGCAGCTGGAGATAGGCATCAGCACCCGTCGCGACCCCAGCAGAGATACGTGTGACGGAAGATGGATGGATCTCTCATTAGAATCAATAACCAATATTTCCATTCTATTATTTTCTAGCTCTGAAATCAGTATTATAATCACGCGCCGCACAATGGCGGCCCACTGCTCCCCAAGGGGATGGGTTAAATGCAGTAATTTCCCACTAGGATTATTAGAGTACATAAAACAAAAAAATAAAAAATGGTAGGGCTGAAACAATTAATTGGATTAATGGTGATTAATCAATTACTGAAATAATCATCAACTAACTTAGTAATTCATTAATCGTTAAATTGAATGTAGAAGCTTTTAAATATGGTTTAGCGGACAGAACAACCCACTCAGAGCAGTAATTATATCAAA